TCAGTTAGTATACAGTTTACGAAAAAATGTTTAAATAAAAATAAAATGATTCGAGGGGGGAAATCAATCAGTACTAAAATTGGTCCTCATACTCTCCTCCTTAAAGGGGGAACAGGGGGTAACTTTAAAATTTCCAATGGAACACCCTATTTTTTATTGCAGATTCGGATCATTCGACTAAAAATAGGTAGATTTTGTCTAAAACATTTTTTCATATTTGTAATAGATGGCGCTGTATTGAAAAAAAATCAATTTCGTTCGATTTTTTTTTCTGTATACGATTCTGCAATAATTTTTCTATAAAAATATCACCTTGTTGGTAATAACTATCTTATTAAATTAAATCTGATTTTTTTAAGTACCCACGTTTTTTTAACTAATATTTAAATTTCCTTGGTTTAAGTTTTATACATTATTTCATTCGGTGATAATTAAAATTGCGCACCATGGTCACTTTTTACCTGCCAGCATTAAATCCTTTAATTTAAAGGATTATTGTACTATTTTTAATAAAAATACCTCATTTAAGGTAAAAAAAACATTATTTTGTCAATTAATTAATTTAATCCTAATTAAGGTATAAAAAATGGTATTTATTTATAAATAATAATTATTATTAAGGTATTTATAGTTTAGCATTATTTAATCAATTTAGTTCGAAGATTAATTTGCTATCAAAAAGACCTCCTTTCGTTAAGCAGTTATTCATAATGGATTTTTTAACAGTGGAAGAAAAAATAGAAATGAGTTTGATTCATGGAGAAGCAGGTAGGAATCTTGATGCTGTTAATATCTACGCTCAGCGTTTTCCGGATAAAACTCGATCACGTACTTCATTTCACCGTACAGTCAAGCAGTTTACTACAAACGGGAGTGTTTAACCTAAAAAAAGAGTTCGTCGAGCAACAGTCACAGGTGGAAATAATGATATTAATGTATTAGCAGCAACGGCCGCTAATCCTCATGCAAGCACTCGAGAATTATCTAGAGATTTGGGAATATCCCAGAGCAGTGTTACCATAATATTCAAACGAAATGCGAATTAATAAATTTAAAAAAAAAAACAAGTATTTTATTCAAAAATTATTGTAGAATCGCAATGAACTGAAATTAGGGGATACAGTGAAGTGGGTTAAAGTTACGAAATACATTAGTAAGTGTTGTAGTATTACTGATAACTATACTGTACCAACATTTTTTATAATTAGATGATTTCAGAATGGTGTATTAGTTAATATTTTTTTACTGTGTACGGCGCAAATTTATAAATTTCAGCTAAACAAGGTCCTTTCACGGTCGAGAAGATTTTTACGCTTGAACCACTTCACAATACCCAAAATTCTCGTCAAATTTTAGGGAAAGGATATAAAAAGATGACTGCAGCAAAAACTGTCACTTGCAGCCATTTTACAGCTTCTGTTAAGGTTTGGGATGGAATCTGTGTGCCTGACAAAGTTAAAGTTGTTTTTATTTTTATGTTCTATAATTTAAACTTTAATATTGTCACCACGTACTACTTAAGTGATTGATTAACTCCAAGGCTGTTAAAATAAGTTTTTTACCTCCTAGTCTGTAAAAAATTCTCCTGTATTTAGTCTTCTTATACAAAACCAATAAGTTTAACTAACAAAATCACATTAAAGTTGGCCATGAGTAGGAATTAAGCCTGTGTCGTCAACTTTAGAAAAATAAAAAAGAATACTTTAAACAATTTAAATTAAATAAAAGTTACCACTGTATTAGGCTAATTTACGAGGTGTGTTCAGAAAATATCGGGAATTTTTGTTTTTTTGAAACATATATTTATTTATTCGTCTACATTAATGTTGTCGCCTTCAAAATAGTCCCCATTGGATATTATGCACATGTGCCAGCTCTTCTTCAAATACTCGAAATACTTCTAAAACTCGATCTTTGGGATAGCCTTTAGTTCTTTCAGCGATGCGCTTTTAATTTTTATTTTTGGGAATAGAAAAAAGTCAGACAGAGGCATGTCTGGCAAATATGGAGGCTGAAGCATCATTACAGTATTGTTTTTGGCCAAAAATTTTGTTCAAAATTTAACAATTTTAGAACAAATTTTTCTGCCACGCGTTTCATACGCAAAACATTCAAAAAAATTTCATGGGATGAGCCAATCGATATACCAACATCATCAGCGACTTCTCTGATGGTTTATAACCATTTCTTCCACTTTTTCCATGTTTTTATCGGTTGTTAATGTGCTTGTACGTTCGGGGTGTTCGTCATCTTCAACGTCTTCACGGCCATCTTGGAAACTTTTATACCACTTGTAAACTCTTGTTTTACTTATAGCAGACTCACTATAGGCCTTTGTTAACATTTCACAGAATTTATTTCATTTTTTAAGCAAAATTGGATACAAATTTTTTGATCCATTTCTTTTAACGAACGAAAAATCGCCGAGCTCATAAAACACGTCTAACCTTAGCGGCTGCCACAGACAAAGTAAACAATGAAAACAGCTAAAATTTGTATCATACTTCGGAGGCATGTATACCAACATAATAAAATTTTTTTATGACAACCGGACCCTCTGAACCCGCGAAATTTAACAATTCCCGTTATTTTCTGAACACACCTCGTATAGTAATGTCCCTAATTTTCCCATAAAACGTCGATACAAATTGTACGATCATGAAAATTCACCTCTTCCTTTACAAGGACTTTCTTACGTAATGTACTCCAAATAATTAAAAAAAGTTCCTTTTTTATCATTTTAAGCTTTAATGTCTTGAGTAGCTTACAGAAGTTAGCTAGTGATATAGTTTATAGTGAATTTTGTTGAATATAAAATTAATTAAATGTAAGTAATCTGTTTATGACTTATAAATATATGTACATTCATGATTTATGATAAATACTATTATTAACATTAATATCAAACTTCAACGAAACACAAAAATAATCAATAACAGCTGCCCAAAAATTACACTTCAACATTTATCAACAATATTTTTGTTTAAATTATTAATAATTTAAAATGTTGAAGCAAAACCTAATTTTATTTTGTCGAAAACCGAAATCCTGTACCTGAAACTATTTAATTAAATCACTCAAATGTACCTACAATGTGCCTATTTGGCTCGATCCATTAACTAAATTAATTGGATGGTAGATTTTCTCACCTGAAAGTAAGTGGAATCGATTTTTCACTTTGTGGCACACATCGACCTTATACCGAGTGTTCTAAAGATAATTATCGTATTGTAAAGTTGCACTATTCCGCACGCATTTGCATTTAAAATCTACGTAAGTATGTTGATTTTAGACAAAATCACAATCCACACAACAAAGTCTGTTCTATCTCGAACTAAAAATACTAAAAATCATAGCAACACTGCACAGAGTTTAACGGCGGCCATTTTTGTTATTTAAAATTCTTGAGCTTCACGGAAGATAGCTTCACGGAGGTTAGGATTTCGTGTTTTTTTAAACATCCCTTTGTATATTTGAAATAAATTATTGTATCTTTTGACACCTTAATTATTTAAAAAAAATACAATTGAACATACATAAAATATTTATAAAAAAAATCTACTTACTGAGCTATTACACATCACGGTGGATAGGTTTTTAAATAGCAAATTAATGAATTTAAACTTTTGAATTATAAAACAGCAACACTCTCATCTGCATATAAATTCTAACTGACCTTCAGGAATCACATGCATCTATAATGTCGTAAACAGAGGTTTTTGCTTATTTAAAATGATTAAAGCGCCATCCGTTGCATAAAATTTAAAGCAAAAACAGATTCACGGAGGATAGAATCAATTTTTGTAACACCTACATAAATGGTTATAAAAATTATTTCTTTTAATTTTTAATAATATTTTATATTTGATTCGATTGCTTTGGATGTGTTTAATTTACTTAGTGAACTGATATTTTTAGTATGCTTTTACTACCTCAGATATTTGAAAACATATATGTTAACCTAGAAAGAGTAACAATCACGGAGGATAGGTTTTAGACTTTTAAAAAATTGTAAAAAATAATTAATTGCGGTTAAATCTTAAAATTGGGTTGGGTTTTTAGAAATACGCTTATTTTAGTATCCAATTTTTCTGAGAACATGGTATTTTTTAAATGAATTATTAGCCATTAAAAACCTTTATTTTATGGTAAACAATTTTAATGTTTAAATTTTGTAATTAAGTAAAACAATAACAAAAGTTATAAATCTTTTTTACCACAACTACAACAAAGAAACAAAACCACTATAGTAATTGTTACGTTTTTTATTTATTGAAATCAATTTTTTAAGTTTTTTTTTACAAACTTAAATTGTTGGGAATTGGCCCATCTTTAATAAATCATGTATGCTTTCTATTATAATTATAATTATATATTTTTAAATGTTGTTTACACCTAGCTAATACTATCGATTGATATTGAAACTGTATAAATGTAACCTAAAACTTCTCTGCTAATATTTATTTATTTATGTACTAACCCCGTATATTTTCATAGATACCTTACAAATTTTTAGTAGTCTATCGTATATAATAAGCTTGTTAAGTAATATTATCAATTCGCAAATATATTTCATCAGTCACTTTAAAAGTTGTGTGCCAAACGGATATGATGTTTTAGTAAGTTTTAAAACTTTTAAAGCACATGTATTTTAATTACATTTTCATGGCTAATATTTAATGTAACTTTTGTGTTTAGTTATCATAGAATTATACCAGTAGGTATCTATTAGATACTATCTAATTACTAATAACAAGCTTATAAATAATATATATACCCAGGGTCGTATTTTTATTTTAACTTTATTTAACAACTTAAATATACTTTTTTATAAATTTTATATTGGTAAAAATTAGACAATTCCTAATTAAAACAATTAATTTAATAGACCTAATTAACTAAAAAAATTAATAGAATGGTAATTTCTATTGCCAATTAATAACATCTCCGATGTACTATGGGACAAGTTCTATATAAGGTTAAACGGTTCACCTCTTAATATTATTCGGTTGATGTTAGTCCTCTTTAATACACCGAGTCGTTTGTCAGTAATTAATAAATGCAATAGTGGTGCTGTAAATAACTATGAAAATCGTCGCGTGGGTGCTCATCTAATTTATCCATCTTAGCTAATTTTAATTAAGTGTGTGATTAAGGTTTAGTTGGGTGTAAGTTCGGTTTTGTCTAGGGGTAGCCCTTTGTTAATAAAGACGAAGAAGAACGTTTTAAAAGGTGTTTATGTTTATAGATCTAGGTACCTTATTATAATTTTAAATATTTAATATTGAATAATTCGTTAATTCCACTAGGTAAATATTTGTTTTGTTTTTAAAACATACAAATTCGTAATAAACTATTTAGAAAAAAATTCAAAATACAGGTTGTTAATTTAATTTTCTAAATAATTTTAATTTAAGGTATAAAAATATAAAAAGTTACTTTAAAGTCACTTACATAAGATAAACAAGCTTTAGTAAAAAAAATATTAGAAAGTCTACTGTTAAAAAAGCTAAAATTTTTGTAAAAATTTTTGTAATTTTTTTAATACATGGTTTATATAAATAATAAAAATAAATTGACCAAAATGATTTTTTTTAAATATGTTAAAAGTTTTTAAATATAAAGCCAAAAATCTATTTTTGTTGCAAACAAATATAAAAGTTATTATAAGGGTTTAAAAATTGATTTTTATTTTCTTTATTTTGAACTGTAAATTGGATTTTAGAAAATGACTTGTACTGTTCTTAATCTCACCCATTCGATTAAAATACGAATTTATATATTTTTTTTATATTTTTGCCCCACACTCACGTGGAATTAAAACAATATACGCTTGAAAACAATGAACAAAGAAAGCTGTTGTTATACTAGTTAAATAATGAAAATATTGTTCCACTAGTGGGGCAATAAAAAAAAGAAAAAAAAAGACAATAATTGTACAAAATAAATGACCCCTATTTTTTACATGCAGATGATACCTCATTACATAAATAAGATTTTAAACTTCGTTTACATATTTGGAAATAAATTCACAATTTTTAAAGAAAAAAACATTGTCATATGTCAGATCCATGGCCCTCTATGATTAATAGTCTTCAAAAACGTCAAAAGTTATTGGGCATTTTTTGATTTTTTTTAATCAAATTATTTTTAAATAAATAGCAAATTGTCGCCAATCAATATAAAAAACTGTATAATTTTAAAAAATTTCAATATTGAAAAAAATTACACTATTGAAAAAAGATTTTTATTTGTAAAATATAAAAAGTATATTTTTAATTTATATACATACATATAAAATTTTATAAAAAATAGGAGAATCCTCAAAAAAATCGTAAAAATCATCAAAAAAATAAATCAAAATATACTAGGTATTAGTATATTTTGATTTATTTTTTTAATGATTTTAACGATTTTTATAACCATTATAGAAAACGCGGTAAATTTTAAATAAACAACAATATTTAAATAAAAAGAATTAGGTACAGGGAGATTTTAGATAAATGGGACACCCATTTTTATTTAAAGATATATAAAAAGCTAATAAAAATAACTTACATGTTTGAATTAGTATATATAAACTAAAATATACAAAGTCTAAAAATAGTATATTTTTATACGAGAGATAATGTAGGCTATTATTCACGAGAATGAGCTTTGCGTCTCGAATGTAATATTATACTTTATCTACTTGGTTCTTTTCCGTAAACAATGATAAACATTATGAATTCCCTGCCTAACAACGTGAATAATGAAACCATTATTCACATTGTTACGCATCTGTGATTGGCTGATTTCAATATTCACTTTGATTTGAACCAATCCGGTTTTAAATTGGGAGACTTTAATAACATTTAAAATTGGTAACAATTTGACATTTGACAGATGTTAGATTTTATTTATTTATTTTTAAAAATTATTGAAGTATATTAAGTACAGTATTTCACTGTGTGAATAATAGCCTGCATTATCTCTCGAATAATAAAATACTATTATTTTATCCTGTAACAATATTTTAGGTAAAATTGGTTTTTAAACAAATGCAGTTAGATCCTAGTGGAATTATTCACACACTTTTGTTATTAATTAAAATTAAACCCATTCCGTATATAATAAATTTACTTTTTTTATTATTTCTACAATTTACATTGAATTAAAAAAAAACGATGTTGTCACTTTTTATATCAATACCATTGCACTATAAAGTAATTTAACTGTTTTGATATTGTATGCAACGCAATTCTATTATTAAACATCAAATTTATTTATAGATAATCGCCGTTACAAAACAATAGATAAAATGAACTTATACCGCCCATGCAACAAATACTCAATAATCTGCTTGATATCGTTTCTTCTGATATTCCTCGGGATATTCCTGATATCGTCGTGGTCCTTCCTCTATGACCAGATCACCAGATCCAGCATGACCTTGACGCCCACCTCGATGGCTTTCGACATTTGGAAGAAGAATCCAGTGCCCATGAAGATCGACTTTTATTTTTACAATTGGACCAATCCGCAGGACATACACAACGTCACCGTTAAGCCCAAGTTTGTTGAGCTTGGTCCGTACAGGTGAGGGATTTTTGAGTTTTGTTTTTTGTATAATTTTATACTATCTTTTATATTGCCAGATACTATGCATATTTAGTAATTTTTAAATATCCATGTATGTTAAACCTTAAGGTAAAATATTATTATTCTCAACCAATTTTGTTTTTAATTCTTATTATAATTAGATTTTTTCCATTACTAATAAGTATAGTAAATTTTAAAATATTATGTTGCCATTTTAAATTTAAAATATTTTAAAATCGGATATTTTTAAATGTTAACAATTAAAAACTGTAACATATTTATTGTACTTTTTAATATACAAAAATGTTATGATAAAGAATTGAACCTACACCTCGCCAAAGTTTTTTGTTTTGAGTGCGTTCCATCAACTTCAAATACCGACAGTCAGGTGTTTTGACCTATATTGGGTATCATCAGTATCGACACGACACTGTCGAGCAACTTGTAGTAGTGGAACACACCCAAAACAAAGAAATACCTGAGCTTATATAACATGGTTGGTAAGCCAACAGAGGCGAGATGTAAGAACATCACGTGATCCAGACCGTCTAACGACGCGTCGCGACGTGGCCTTTGCCGCAATCGGTACATACTATGCAACCAAGTAGGTTCAATTCTTTCTTATAAGTATTACCAGTAATGGGTCAAGAAAGTTTATTGAAGAAATTAAGAAAATTGAATGTTTAAAATGGCATCAGTTACTATATTGTATATTATATTTAAATATATAGTTTATTTACCTTAAACATAAAAGTATCTTTATTTTTACTATATTTTTTATTAATGTGTAATATATTATAATATTAGATGTACACCTTACATTTGATTAAATCATATAGTAAATATCACTATTTGTAGGTAGTAAAATCAATTTACTATACAAACATATTAAAAATTAAAATATATATTATATATTTATGATTTAGTAATATTGGTGTTGTAATCTTTACTAAAATTGTATAATAAAAAATAGTATTTTGTATTACAATCTTAATATTGTATTGACAAATATATAATATTGTTACCCTAAAAATTTGTTAAAGTAAATTTTACTATATTTTTTTTACTATCTAAAATTTACTATACATTTCTCTCCGTGTAATCAATATTTATCGCAGTTTGTAAAAACAAGCAAAACATATTTCTCTCAGTGTACTAAAATTTAGTAATTTCATATTTTTCATTTATTTATTTTGCAGATTTATTGAAACCAAAGAAAAATCCAACATAACCTGGAACGCTAACAACAACACAGTCACTTTTAACCATGTAAAAAAATGGTACTTTGATCCAGAAAACAGTCCAAGATCCTTATTTGATGAAATAACAACTCTAAACCCTACCACAGTGGTAAGTTAAGATGTTTATTTTTCTGGCGCTATGGTTGGCTATCGTAATTTTGGAAATGTTGGAAAATTACAAAACACAACATTTGTGAATTTTGTTTTAATAATTTTGGAAATTTTGAAAATTTGGATATATTTTAAATATTGACATTTGACATTTTGCAATTAAAACAATTGATAAATCGATAAATTTGGTTACAATAACCTCGAAATTTGTTTATAATTATTTAATAATAATTATTTAGGCAGTAAAAATGCACACTAAAAAATAGACCCAGAAAATTAATTAATAACATATGTTTGTTTGTTTGTATAACAATTGAAATCTTAAGATTTCATTAATTAGGTTTCATTCGTAAAAAATACTTGATAATTGGTGAAAATCAAAGGGAATAATATTTGTACCTATCAACGCAAATGCGTGTATATACAGGGTGTTTTACATTCATAGTCCATTAGAAGTTTCTGAAAAAAAGATCTTATTCATTTAAAATTTAAAAAGCATTTATAATTCATTTAAGTCTATTTTTCAAAAATATTTTAAACATAATGCCACTTCTGGTTTAAGTTTTTTTAAGTTACATCAACTTTGTTTGTGGATATGGCCGGAATTTTTGAAATCTTAACCCATTTTTTAAAAGATTCCATGTCAATTCTTTAACATTTGCGCAATTCAAAGATATGGTCCGGTTTTGATTTTTTTGTTATGCTTTTTCGCACTAAAGAAATTGAAAATATAATTTTTTCGCACCATCCTAATATATACTAATATTATATAACGTAATTGTGAATTTATTAATTTCAACCACTAATTAATTAAATTAATTCAAATAGACGTACGTAATAGTATATTATGTATCAAGTTTGATAAACGCCATTGTATAAACGAATTTAATTTAGGTACGAGCGAGCTTGCGAGCGAGTGCTTAATATAATGAGTGTATAGAAAAGTTTATAAACGAGGTGCATACTATACTTTTTCTACGACAAATACTTATTATTATCTTAAAATGATTTAAATCAAAAATTTGTATAGAGCGCCATCTATGAAACAATATGATAATCTGTGTGTCACCGTCAAATGTCAAATTTTTAAAATTTAAATTTTAAACACAGATTATAAAGGTTATAAATCGAAATGTATTTCTTGAAAATTGACAGTTTTTCACAGTGAAAGTAAAGAAAATGTTTTATGAGCACTTTACAGTGGAGTCCGTGCCCGAATTTAAGTTATAGTTTACTGCCGGCGAAATTAAAAGGTCAGTACAATGTTCATATAAACTTTTCAAATATTGGCGTTGAGAAACTATTTAATACTTTTGTATTTTCGTATTGAGATAATAAAATAATTTTCACATTTAGTATTATTTTACAAGAAAGACACTTTATTTTAGCGATTGTATGACATTTGACAACTGTCAACTAACTTAAAACTAACTTCAGCCCGTGACTAAAAACATGTTGCTAAAGCGCCATAAAGCCACAACTTGTCAATGTGTATTTAAAAGGTACTAATTATTAATTAGTAAGTAAAAAACTATTTTGTCTTTATTTTAGTCAGCTTCTTATGCAGCTAGGGACTGGAGCTATTTCGTCAAGAAAGGTTTATCAGTGGCTCTTAAATCAATGGCGTCAAAAATTCACATAACAAAAACCGTGGGAGAATTACTATTTGAGGGGTATGAAGATCCCTTACTAAATATGGCCAGAAATATGCCTTTTTTGGCTGGATCAAGCATGCCACCGATGGACAAATTTGGATGGTTTTATGGGGTAAGAATTTTTTTGTAGTTTGGCTAAAACAGAATAGATTTTTTTAGATGAAATTTTCACAAAAAAAGCGTTAAAATAAAAAAATATTTCTTGAGTTGTTAGGTTTTTGAACTATGGGTTAATATATTATTGATCAAATAATTTTGTATTGCAAAATTAAAATTTAATTTTTTATTTCTTTATTTAGATTTTTTGATTCACTATGACAGAAAGTTTAATGTTTAATAATATATATTTCGTAAATAATGATAAACATTATAAATTCCCTGCCTAACAACGGGAACAATGAACTCATTATTCACGTTGAATATTTGAACCAATCGCGTTTTAAATTAAGAGAAGGCGACTATAATAACATTTAAAAATGGTAAAAAGTAAGGTTAAACATTTGACAGATGTCAGATTTTATTAATTATATTTTTAAATCATTTAATTATCTACTTATCGGAGTAGATAAAGTATAGTATATATTACACTCGAGATTATGCGCATTATCTCTCGTATCATAATATACTAAATATTAATTTACATAAAATACACTCACAGGCAAAATAATCGATCCACACAAATTTTCGATGAATTTCAATCGCAAATAACTTTATTATTTGATGTCGGATTTAAACGAATATTAAAGAATATTGTAGATAAATTCATGGACAATCGCTCATTTTAAAAAATTACTAAAAAATAGACGTACGTTTATAATATACAGGTTTAATCAAAAATATATTTTTAACCATAAGTTTAAGACACTCTGTAGAGTGGCAAAACCGTATATTGTTCTAAATTTATTTATTTATCAAGTCACATCTATTCTATTAACAGTTTTGTTTTTGGTTCACCACGATATATTTATTTTTGTGGAAAATATTGATTTTTTAAAAAAACATTGCAATTTCCAATATTTTTCTGTATGAAGAACTAAGGTTGCTATGGTCCATCCAATGACAGTGACAGTTTTGTTGAATCATCCCATACTTGGACATGTCATACACGGCTTTCAAAAGCTATCAAATTGTTTTTTGCAAATTAATGTTTAAATTTAAAGGTGTCTTCTTACATTAAAAAATGGATGTCTCCGACTGATGTTGCCAGAGCCATTAATTTAATCCAGGATGGACGGTCACAGTATTACGTGGCAAGTGTTTTAAACGTCACAAGAAGTAAAGTACAAAGGGCAACATCAGTCCGATACATTTTTAAAAGTAAAAAGACACCTCAAAATTAACACATTAATTTACAAAAAAAACAATTTAATAGCTTTTGAAAGCTGTATATGACATGTCCAATGTATGGGATGATTCAACAAAACTGTCACTGTCATCCTCCATAGGCTATGGATGGACCATAGCAACCTTAGTTCTTCATACAGAGAAATATTGGAAATTGCAATGTTTTTAAAAAAAATCCATATTTTCCACAAAAATAAATATATCGAGGTGAACCAAAAACAAAACTGTTAAGAATAGATGTGACTTGATAAATAAAACTTAATTTAGAACAATATACGGTTTTGCCACTCTACAGAGTGTATTAAACTTATGGTAAAAAACATCTTTTTGTTTAAACCTGTATATTATAAACGTACGTCTATTTTTTAGTATTTTTTTTTAAATGTGAGCGATTGTCCATTAATTTATCTACAATATTCTTTAATATTCGTTTAAATCCGACATCAAATAAACAAGTTATTTGCGATTGAAATTCATCGAAAATTTGTGTGAATCGATTATTTTGCCTGTGAGTGTATTATCAAAACTAAAAAAACTTGAAGCCTTTTCTAACATAGTGTTTACATAATTTTTAAGTTTTATTTTGCTTTTATTTTTACTGTATTTAAAAAAAATATGTTCCATTTATTTATCCTTCACTTTTTTCAAACAATACTAATTCTTTTTTATTCAGACAGTAAATAAAGGTGAAAAAAGGCTTGAAAAAAATGAAGTAATCTTCTCCCAAATAACCTTTTCTTTTTCCTTTTATATTCGTTTAGTGGCTCGTTTATTGCTTTAAGAATAATAACCCTAATAATTAATACAAATGGCTAATATTGTCTATTTAGCAGTTGGACCTTTTCTTTCTAAAAACGACCACTTAAAGTGAGATATGTTGTCTTTGTTTCAAAATCCATTGGGAATTTTACCGTTGGTTATACAGGGTTGCCAAAATGACTAAAGTCAAATATTTTTTTTTTCATTTTTTAGAGAAATGGTTCAGAAACCTACGAGGGCACATTCAACATGGACACGGGTGTGGATGGGTCACTGGGCCGATTGTACAGATGGAAAGGAATGAACCATACGGATTTCTACAAAGACGAATGCAGCGACGTTGGCGGATCAGCGGGCGAATTTTTCCCTCCAAACATGAACAAGGAAACCATCATTAAATTCTTCTCCGCCGATTTGTGCAGAACCATGGAGCTGGAGTTTCAGAAGGAAATGGAGTTGCATAATATGGCTGCCTATAAGTTCAGCGCTGGAGATAGGTTTTTGGATAATGGTGAGAAATGATTTTAAGAATGTCCCTTACATTTTTATTATTATTTTAAATCGTTTTATCTTCTTTGAAGTCAGCTTTAAGTTAGTTGACAGCTAGAAATCTACACTCATTTTCAAAAGTCTTGCACCACCAAGTATAATATAAAAATAAAGTTTTTTTCTTTAAACCTTGTTCGAAAGTACTTACTTTCGCCCCTAATAGCAGGGACAAAAGTTTATCATGTGCTTCCTGTGCTATTAGGGACGAAAGAACGTACTTTCGACCGAGGTAAAAGTACCATTTTTTAAATACTAATAATAATTATGGTAATTATTATTATTATTATATTAATTATTAAAAACATATTCTTTTTAACAAATAGAATGAATCAACATAAATTTTATTAATAATTTTCTGCCAAAATTTCCATTGCCTTAGACCAAAAAAATTTCCATTGCCAAAAACCAACAAAACATCGAATCAAACCTCTTTCCTCTATACAATTTTCCATTTCCAGTATTGTTTGATGCTCTTCTGATTCGGTGGACAGCTAATTTTCGAACAGGTCAAATTGTGCACGGAGCAAATATACTTTTAGTGACATGTTTACACCCATTTTTAGTTTTTGTTTTATTTTTTATTATTTCTTTTTAATTTATTGTTATGACAACAATTTCCTACCAGTTAATTGGTTTAAATTAATAAATAACGGTTTTTCGGGTTTCAAAATTAATAAAACTTAAAATCGTTAGTTAAAAAAAATTAATCAATCTAAACATTCTGTAAACGCAAAAAGGCATTCTTTGGATAGGAGAAACGAAAACCACCCCATCATTTTTTGCTGTTATTTGTACACTGTTCAAAATTTCATGACCAATTTAACACCAAATTAACACCATACGTGGTCTATATCGATACAAACCAAAATGGTGTTAAATAAGGTTCGTTGGTCCGGTGTCAATTCAAATACTAAAATGGTGTTAAATAAGGTTCGTTGGCGGTGTAAATTCAAATACTAAAATGGTGTTAATTTAACTTTCACACAGTATTAAAATAAATTTTACCTGGTGTAAATTGAACTCCTTTTCAGTGTTGAATATTATGTGTTTGTGGTCAAATTATCATACTACACAGAAAAAAGAAAAAAAAAAGGAAACAGGAAGTTCCTTGACGCATTACTAGTATATTACCAGTGGTATTATTCCAGAAAATGAAACCTTCAACTCGCTAGAGATAATGTTTTTAGTGCGTTCCACTAACTTAAAATACTTCAAGTATTGACAGCTGTTTCCACCTATTTAAGGTCTCTTTAGTATCGAACAACTTGTAGTGTCACACCAAAGCAAAGGACTAGTTTATATATTCTTTATGTAAGTCAACAGAGGCGAGATTTAAGAACATCACGTGATCCACAAAAATATAAATGAACTATTCCTTTTTTTCTGGGTAGGTGCACTTCTCAAATATTTTTAGATAAACACCGTTTTGGTGTTCATTTTCAACCATAATTCATGGTGTTATATTAACACCACTTGGTGTTGGATTTTGACACCATTTTAGGATTACTCTTCACACCGTAGATATTTTAAACAGTGTACCCATAGATTAATAACCAATCGAATACCTGTCAATAAAAACGCATTTCTTTTTTTTGCCCACTATCTTCAATTGGGTGTCAACAATCTTTTTTATGTTATAAAAACAGTCAATTACCTAATAGAAAGAGGATATTTTGTTGCTACTTTTGAAACTGAGTTTAATATAATCTGTCAAATCAAAGTCATTAAAATAAAGCTACTAATAATCTTTAGAAATCTGACATATTTTAATAATTTATTTATAGGCTTTTTTATAGACACTCGTTTATTAAACACGTAATTTTTAGCATATTTTTTAACATTTTCCTTAACAAAAATAACTAGTGAAATGTTTTATGCTGTCTAGCCAAAAACTAAGTTAACCCAGAAAAAACCTTTTCGTTATCTCGTCAATATTGTAGGCACTAAATTCGCGGCAAATAAGTGTTACTGCATGGGAGATTGCATGCCTTCGGGGGCAGTAAACGTTTCGGCTTGCCGTTACGGCTCCCCAGCGTTCGTGTCGCTACCGCATTTTCACAAAGCCGACTCATATTATCAGGACTGTATCGAGGGGGTCACCTCTGAAGACAGCAAGCACGACTTTTACATGGTGTTTGAACCAGTAAGTAAAAGCGATAATATTATTTTAATTTTTTTTTATAATTTTTTTTTAGACAACTGGAATTCCTTTAGAAGTGGCCGCCAGGCTACAGTTAAATTTGCTGATACATCCTATTAACAGTATTGAGTAAGTATAAAAAAATCCTAAAAATGTTAAATATTTGTCTATGATATTAAAATTTTAACTTTATGTCCATGTTATAAATATATTATTAAATACAGGGCCCAACAACTCGCATAAAAAGTTTGGCATTTTGGTTTCTCCTAATTTTGAAAAATCTACAATTGTATTATTTTTATAAATTTATTTATTTATTACGAGTATTGTATGCAACCCATTTTAAGATGTGTCTACTGCTCCTCAGCAGCAACTAAATAATATGTAAAGGAGGTCGTTGGACCCTTTCATAAAATTTTGTTTAATAAAAATATTAAGTTAATTTGATTAATTGGATTAAAAAATCTCCGCCCGTAACAAAGAGTATACGTAGACACTTCTTCCTTTATTCAAATGACATTTGATTTGATGTGGCAAACAAAAAATTTTATTGGTCGACCAGTGTTATTTACAATGGTGTAATGTTTGTTGCCTATATAAGATAAGCAGGTAAATGTAATTTTTATTAAAAATAAAGTTATGTTTATTCCCAAAACTTGAGTAAAATACAATTTTTTTAAATTATCTAATTTCGGTTCATGGACCAATTAAGTAATTAAAAATTTTAATTACGATTTTTTTACAGTATTTTAAAACTATTAATAATAATAATAATAATAATAATAATAATAATAATAATAATAATAATAATAATAATAATAATAATAATATTGAAGATCAATGCGAAAAACTTAAAAAACATGTTTTACAATTAATTATAAATAATTTAAAATTGTTAACGTTTAAAAACAATATCAAGAGAGCGCCATTATTATAGGCTGCTGCTATGTACGTTTGTTATGACATTATTTTATAACCTTAGGTTAAAATATAAAATTTAATTATAAAATAATAATTATTAAAATAGAAAATAAGTATAAATATAATATAATTATTATTATATAATAATATACCGGGTGAATCGGAGAAAAGTAAAAAACTTGTATTCTACGCATAAAAACATTAAAAAACTGAAATGTTGTTACAGATTTTTATTTTTTTCGAGATTTTGAAAAAAAATCCTATACCTATTATAATTATTATTATTATTATTATTATTATTATTATTATTATTATTATTATTATTATTATTATTATTATTATTATTATTACCCAAATTAAAAATGCACAATAATTGAATAAAAATTAAGAAATTAAAATATTAGTAACATGTTATAAATATTCTTATGCTTAGTTTTAACAGTTAAAAATGCAATAGAAACCTAAAATAATAATAATAATAATAATATTAATAATAGGCTTTATTTCAGAAGACATATAAAAGTGTAGAAAACGTCAAGGTAAATTTGAAATAGACAAACATAAAACATAAGAAATTACAAAATGGTTCATAATGTACATAAATAAATGTTTACAACTTTAGCTAGATTATAAGAAATTCATTCAAGCTATAAAAACATTTGGACAACAAATATGACTTCAAAAGTGTTTTAAAAATGTGAACTGATTTTGAGTTTTTAATTTCCAAAGGAAGTCTATTAAATATATGTATTCCTAAACTGTTTGGAGACTTTTTACCTAAATTTAGTCGATTAAATTCAATGAAATAAAAAATAGGCAATTTCAAAAATCTCTACAATTACATTTTTGTCACCAGGACCCATGTAGATTTAAATAATTAACAATTTTATTAAACAAAAAAATATCATAAACAGATAGTTTGAAAAATATGCGCCTTGCTTTTTTAAGAACTATCTCTACGTAAATGGGGTTGGAATATGCAATTTTTTTTATTGCATATTTGAGTTTGTTATTACATTTTTTCCTACGTTTATTAAACAATTTTTGAGAACGCAACAGCGTTTTAAAAACCGCAAGATTTAAAATGCAAAACATCTGTTTCTAGCATGATTTCTAGGTTATAATCAATATTTTTTAAAGTATTTAAATCGTTTAAAAATCGAGGTGCAAACTTTAAATTTTAAAAATAATTTTATAATTTTTTTACTAAAATACGCTTTTAATTATTAACAATTTTTTTTTTATAATAGACACTCATTTTATTAAACACTAAAATACGCTTTTAATTATTAACAATTTTTTTTTTATAATAGACACTCATTTTATTAAACACCCCCACGAGACCCAATTATTATTCCTAATTAAAATGATGTTTATGAAACTATAATTTAAAGTTTATTGTCGATGTTCAATCTAACCTTACTTTCTACTTTTAATTATTGTACTTTTTGACCTAATGATTTTTTTAGATGTTTATTTATTTTTTATCATTTTTAATTCTTAAGGGTTTTTGCTGCAAATTTCCATTAAAATATATAACATATTCCTAATCAACAAATAAAATATTAATGTAATACACCAGTGAAATAAACAAAAACAGCCCATGGACTACTAATTATTTTAACTAATTTATGTAATTAAGTCATAAATTATAATTTTTATAGACTCATCAACCTTTACAATTATTACTATAACACTTAAATAAACAAATCTGCAATTTTTAAAAATTGGTGGATGCGCCAAAAAATATTAAAATTTTCTAAAACAAATTATTTTCTAGGATGTTCGAAACTGTCCCCAAAGTTTACTTTCCCGTGATGTGGTTCGAGCAAGTGGTAAAAATGCCCGACTCCATGGCACTGCAAATAAGGCTGCTGCTCAATTTCCAAGTGATATGTTGTTCCGCCGGAATCACCCTTATTTTCGCGGGGTTGCTGGTGCAATTCTGCTTTTGTTACAAACTGTGCAGCGCGAAGTTTTGCAAGAAAAAATGCAAAAACGAAGATATCGTCATAAAGGAAAGGGTGCCTTTGACAGATGGAAATTACAGGCTGTGATCAGGCTTTGCCTTTTTGTTCTTGTTTAAACAACCAAATCATGTATTTTTAATATTTTTATTTGTTGGTGGTTTTTATAAACAATCAAGAAAATAAAGTTATAATACCTAGTTTAAATTACATTTAAACGAAGGAAAAAATATTATTATTACTATATTTTAAAAACATATTAGGATACAGTCAACCGAATTATCCTATACCTACCTATCCATGTTGTAATGGAAAAATGTATTATTTTTTTACTTAATTTATGTTAAATATTATTGAAGAAACATTTACCTACTTTTACTATTTTTGTACAAAAATGATTTTTAAGTAATAAATTTGTTTAAAAAAAATTCCCCACTATAACACAACTAATTTTTTGTTATACGCCTTAAGAACAGGTTGTTTTATGTTTTAACCTGTTTTTGTAGTTTTCTTTAGTGGTTGGTGGTAGAAATTAAACAGTAAACCATTAAATTAATTAATTTTTGACTATTTATTTTACTTAAAATGTTGATTAAAATTAATTAAATGGTCTTCGGCTTATTCTAAAAGCTATTAAAACATCTCGTCCACGTAAAGGTATACTTTTTGCGTTTTAATTGTACGCAAAATTAATTTTACTACCTACTACGTCAATACTAACGAGTTAATTAATTAATGAATAATTTATTTAAATTTAAATACTTGTTTTTGTTTATTTACTGGTGTGTTACAATATATTTTATTTTAGGTAAATGTTAAAAACTGCTTACCTATAAACAATTACTTTTTAATTATGATTTATTAAATCATATTAATTTTAAGTGCAAAAACGTACAAATTAATTAAATTTAAAAAAAATACAATAAATATAAAAGATTATACAAATTTTAATAAATTTTCCCATACACAGGGTCTTATGTAATTAATGTTATATATTAAAATGGGTCGTTCCTTAGGGTCCATAAAGAAGCACCTGAAACTTTTTTTTTCTAAATTCCAAAGACTAAAAATAATTTATAATAACCTTTATCCTACCAAAAAGTACGCCACTGATCGACTAGGGCTAATCTGGTTGCCTAATTTAATTTATAATGTTATGGTTGGTAACAACAGTGTTTCCAAATTTTGTCAAAAAAGTTGCCAAACATTGTTTAAATTTAGCTTAATTACAAAAATGACAAAATCAACAATGCAAATTCTCAATTTGGCGTTTTTATTAATTGTTGGTTATGTCATTTTTGTACTAAAATCTGCCAACTGTTATGACAAAATCTAGCGCTCAAATTGTAAATATCTTAACTAAGGGAAGTGCTTTTGGATTTATTTACACAAATTAAATTAATTTTGTGATTATGTTTTTTTTTAAATAGGTACTAAATTTTCTAATCATTGCTTAAGGTAATAGCTGGATGAGTAAATATATACAGAAGGGTATTAGAGCTTTAAGGGCATAAAACTTTTGTATTTTTTTGAGTTTTTATTTATTTTTTGCAAGAAAAATTTTTAGTAACAATTTTTAACATCTGGCAACGCGCAGCTACTTTGTGGGTTGATATCTATGTACTCACAGAACACAAGTGTGCAGGGATAAACCAAGTGTGTAACCAGTGGCGTATCACAAAAAATATAAAAAAATTCTAATGCATATTTTTTCTTTATCTTTGGAAAAATCTTTTTTTAAATATTTTTCCTTTACTCCTTATGACAAAAAGTATTCAGTATTTTAATATATAACATTAATTACATAACACCCTGTATACAACACGGCGGAGAAAGCATATTAACTGCCTCGCTCAGATCTGCAGCTTTCTTCATCTGTTAGATAATTATTAAACAATTTTAAGTAGAGCATAACTTAAAACGCGTTATTTTAATTTTTTTTCGAGTTACAGTGCACATTTTCGAGTTGCCCTGTATAAAAGAAAAGAAAATTAAATAACTACAAATTCCTGTTAACCAATCTGATATTTATAACAGTGTACATCTTCAATCAACGCTATCATCATTCATTGATTATTTATATGCACGAGAACCTAAACCACTACGCATTTAGACCGGTCCACCCAAAATACCCGCACCCACCCCTGCCCCCAAAATAGTACCACAACAAAGCATGGTACCAGTTCGCCAGGAGCTTAGAAAAGCTCGTCGCTTGGAATCCACAGTCGTTTATACCCATACAAACAATCGTTTGCGTACATGACATGTTGTGTCTAATAAACAGAACGCTAGTAAGGTCATGAAGTCGCGCGATAAGACATTTACATTTCGTACGGCAATCGGTCAATTTAGTCGCGTCGAGGTCCCTCAAAAGTCAACAAACCAATGTGCACCAACAATCATCCAGTGCCAATGAGTTAAAACCGTCAAACGCCACCCCTTTGGACAGATGAAGCTTACGCATCAAAATGTAATTGACATGTGAGTGATTATTTATGTTTATCATATCTTACTTTAATGGTTTTATTAAGGCGTACATTGAATAATGTTTGTTGTATTGTCGCATTCAACTAACTAAAGTGGTTCCAATTATTTTGAACATGTGTTACATGATAATACAATGAGCCTCTTAATAAATCATATCTAGTTGGCGGTAGCTTTGTTTTCGCAAATATTTTTTTCTACTCTAATTTGTTTATTAGGCATTTCCTACCTGTACTATAATAAGATCCATTATGATACAACCTTTTCATTACGATACAGATTTTTTACCAATAAAAATTCTGTCAATATCAAATATCTAATATATATATATATACATATATGGGTGATTCTACAAAAATTGGGCAACTTTTGACCTCATTTTGTTTATATAGTTTACGGGTAAATTAAACAGTATTTTGTTATGAAAACATAGATAATATAATAAATATACTGTTCCAGACCGGGCCAGTCACTTTTTCAAACAGTTTCTGAAATATCTATGTTTTCTAAATTTGAATGCAAGGGAAGTGACGAGTATACCAGGGTACTAATTAAATACCTAATTTATTGAAAAATATAAGATTTATTGCAACTTTAAGCATATCATACATTAAATATCTTAAAATCAAATAATACCACACATCAGTTATTAGATATGGGAGCCACACCAAATTTATATGATTTTATAATGACATTAAATAAACAAGCAAGCAGAATTTGCGAAAAAAAGATAACCGAAACATCGAACATGGAACTGACGACACGGTACTGATGAATGGGATACAAATTTGAGATTATAATTCGGAATTAAGTATTTTACGGATATTTTTTATTAGTGGATGCTACTTATCAACAAATCACGTATAGCCTTATATAAATTACAATGAAATATATATACGTAAGAAATTAACTACTCACCACAGTACTGAAATTTTGACTGGAACTATACGTGCATTCACCACAACTTCGCCGCTTGCAGTATTTTCAAGATGACTGTCGCGCACTTGAGTTAAAACGAGAACTTTTCAATTTTTCGCAGGAATTGGACACAGAACTGACGGGTAAAAGTGAGTACAAAGAATATCAATTTTTAAAAAATTGCTATTTTTCGAATCTATCATAAAATATGAAAAATACATTAAAATTGGGTGGACAAGTTTAAAAAACCTGGATCTTTTGTAATATACTAAAATATTTACAAAAAATATTAAAATACCAAATCTATTGACTGATGACATCAAATTGTCCAACTTTTGTAGAATCACCCATATATATATGTATACATATAAATATAAATTTGAAGAAGTCAGTGTTCTTTAAAGTGAAATAAAAAACATTAAATGGTCATCACACTGTTATACAGTCAAAATATGCACTTTGACAACAGATTCTAGAAAGGTTAGTGCAAAAAATTGATAAACGGACATAAAAACAAATAATTAAAATAATTATAAAAATCACAAAATTAAAAAACCTTCATTAAATACTTAAAATAAGAAACCAAAAAAAAAATTGATAATGTTATTAATTAATGTTAACATACACTCTAAAAAAGAAGCATTTACACCATACCATATTTTAAGAGAATATTGTTTTACGTAGTTTTTACAAAATATCTTTATTTTTGTTAGTATACAGGGTGTCCCAAATTTGGCGGCCCATAAAGTAAAGATGATATAAAATTTTAAGACAAACTTTCTTCTACCTTTTTTTCGAGTTATTTAATTTTTAAGGCCGCCAATGTTTTAATATTTTAAGCTAAATATTATTCAAATTTAAAAAGTGCATTCGTAACTATCTCCTATTTTACAAGGTTGTTAAAAATAAAGCATTTTCTATTGACCAACATATAATTTAGTACATTGAACTTATTCCATATCTTTTATGATTTTTTTCCCAATGACCTTTTATATCTCAGATAATTTTCCAATCTTAAATTCTGCTTATTCGCAACTAAAATCGATGATGTTTAATTCATAACTAATATTAATTTTCGTTATAATAATTTTTATTCAAAAATATTGTAAAATAATCTCTTTTTGAGATACTGTTATCGCATATGCTGTTTATTTTTAAAAAAGAAATTTTTATATCGATTAATTTAAATAAAAATCGTGGGTGATCTAAAAATAAAAAAAATAATTGTTAATAATTTTATTATATGCTCATTTTTCGCAACTGAAAGTAAAGGTGTAGTGACTGTGTTTCGTTAAGTTTTCTGAGGCAACATTTTTAAAATAAAATTGTAATTGTAAATTGGTTACATCCTTTGCTTTATTAAATTAAGTAAGTTTAAGATTTTATGCCACCTCATTGTTAAAAAACAAACAATTTAATTTTTGAACATTTTTTACTATTATTTCAGGGGGGTGTCACTTAAAATTTGGAACTTTACTTTCTATAGAAAATAATTTATCCAGAAAGTAATAAACCAATCAGACCACGGTATTTCTCATCGTATCGTAAAAATGAAGATAATTATATAATTTGGGAAATTTTCTGGTTAATTCATGCATATAAAAGATATTTTTCAAGGCAACAACAATTTAAGAAATACGAGGTGTGTTCAGAAAATAAAGAGAATTGTTAAATTTCGCGGGTTCGGAGGGTCCGGTTGTCATAAAAAAATTTTTATTATGTTGGTATACATGCCCCCGAAGTATGATAAAAACTTTAGCTGTTTTCATTGTTTACTTTTTTTGTGGCAGCCGCTAAGGATAGACGTGTTTTATGAGCTCGGCGATTTTCGTTCGTTAAAAGAAATAGATCAAAAAATTTGTATCCAATTTTCCTTAAAAAATTAAATAATTTCTGTGAAATGTTAACAAAGGCCTATAGTGAGTCTGCTATAAGTAAAACAAGAGTTTACAAGTGGTATAAGAGGTTCCAAGATGGCCGTGAAGACGTTGAAGATGACGAACGCCCCGAACGCACAAGCACATTAACAACCGATAAAAACATGGAAAAAGTGGAAGAAATGGTTATAAACCATCAGAGAAGTCGCTGATGATGTTGGTATATCGATTGGCTCATCCCATGAAATTTTTTCGAATGTTTTGGGTATGAAACGCGTGGCAGCAAAATTTGTTCTAAAATTGTTAATTTTTGAATTTCCTATTCCCAAAAATAAAGAGAACCTTAAAGGGCCGTCGTTTTGCAAGCATAGATGACATTAAAAGCGCATCGCTGAAAGAACTAAAGGCTATCCCAAAGATTGAGTTTTAGAAGTGTTTCGAGTATTGGAAGAAGAGCTGGCACATGTGCATAATATCCAATGGGGACTATTTTGAAGGCGACAACATTAATGTAGACGAGTAAATAAATATTTGTTTTAAAAAACGAAAATTCCCGATATTTTCTGAACACACCTCGTATATTACATATAACATGAAAATTTAAGTTTAAAATACCTAAGCTAAAATATTACATAATATTAGAACAATTTTTTTATTTATTATTAAATATAAATTATACCCTCTTCATTTCTTATACCCCTGTACAGTTTATTAAAAATCCTAATGACAAAACTATAACCAAAAACTTTTGACCCAATTAATTAAAAATAGTATAAAATTTGTAAAATTCGCAGGTAATAAGGAAGTTTTATTGTTTATTTTCAAAATTAAATGTTTTTAATAATATGTTTGTTTAAATAAATTATACAAATTATATAATAAGGAATTTTATTTGGTTATTGTTGTATAAAAAACAAATAATAGGCTGAGAGGCGAGTCTTTATTTATATTTATCAAACATAATAATTAATTTTGCAACTTCCTATGAGGCGTACGCCTACGTAGGTTAATGATAAATAAATTTAAAAAAAAATTTTCATTACACCGATTTTTTAAATACACATTGACATGTTGTGGCTTTATGGCGTTTTAATCACGGGCTTTTTTAGGTAATAATAAGTATTTCTTGTAGAAAAAGTATGGTATGCAACTCGTTTATAAACTTTTCTAGACACTCATTTAATTAAACACTCGCTCACAAGCTCGCTCGTGCCTGTTTAAGTTTTGTGACTAAAATGGCGTTTATCAAACTTGATACATAATATACTATTGGTAAAACATTTATAAATTTAGGGAAATTATTAAACATAAAACTGTAAATTTAAAATTATCTCTTCCAAAGTAAATAATATTAAGGGTCATTAGAATATCTAATCAATCAAAGCAAGCCACGATAAGCATGAGAGACTCGCTTAAAGCAAGCTACATGAATTTAGATTACAAGTAGTTGTGTAGAACTACTTAACTTTAACCAGGCACTATGTGATAATTTTGGTTTAGTTAGTTTGTGAAAAAAATTGTTTGTGATACATTTTTTTGCTACAAAAATGCGGTAGGAATTGTCTGATAACTTTAAAATAATTAGTTAGTGCAAAAATGCCCCGAGATTAAGGAAAATTAATGTGAAACGTAAATTTTTCTAGGTTTTTGTTTACTACTAGCATGTCATAATATTATACAAATAAAAATTATATAACAAATAAATTCAATTCCAATAAATAGAGGTTAAGTCAGTAAGGATTTTCCATTGGATTTTGCGTTTTTTTTTCACCGCAAGATAAATATTTAAATTATTCCACAAATAAAATAGTGCAAATAGTTTAATGGTACTTTTTGTACCTAGACGCAGTCCTATTGGGTAATGAATAGTACTATTTTTTTTACAACAAATAAATAATTTAAATAAAAAGTTAAATCTAAAATCTAATCTTAGTCTAAGGCTTAAACTATCAATTTTAATTATTAATTAAAATGTGAAAATAAACTTTAAAAATAATCTTGAATAAAAATATGACTTATTATTTACATACAGTGAAGTAGATTAATACAGACTACACTTATAGGTCACTCAACTTCAAATGAACGTAGCTACATTTTGAAGTTGAGTTAACTTTTAAAAATCAATGGTCTTCAAGTTATTTAGGTAGCATTAAATTTTTGCACTGTAATCTAGACATTGAAATTTATTTTAATTCACTAAAAACATAGAAAAAAGGTCGCATGCTTAGCTTAGATAGGGAATATATTTAATTATTAATAATAATATTTATTTATTTTTATTTTATTATTTTTATCAAGTTTAAAAAACTCGACAAACTTTATCGCTTCTTTTTTAAACTCAATTAACCTGATAAAAATAATCTTCACAACATCAGAAACAGAAACCTTTTGAAAATATTCTTTAAAATTTTAGATACTAAAAATATGGCGAGTGATAGTTGTCTTACTTGGTTTTCGATATTGACGTAAAAATCAAACAAAATAAATTTCAAAAATAATAAAGATGGACCACCTAAAGTACAAAAACAACAAAAGTAAGTTTTATAACATTTATGCTTTATAAATATTGTAATTGTAAGTAAGTTAATAATATTACCCAATTATGTACTGTATTTTGAAACATAATTTTTTGTATAATTTACTTACAATTGCAAAAGTTATAAAATATTTAAACTACGTTTATAAAATTGTTGCTTCCATTAATTGATAACCCAAATGATCTTAACTACTAAATATAGTTTTAAGTTGATTTTTTTTTTCATATCTATTAGACAAAATTTAATATTTCAAGTAACTTACTTTTCAAAACTCAAAAATACATGAGCCAACTTTTTAGGGTCATTGCCCCACTGTGCATGGATTTTTTCTTATAGAGGTGGATAAAAAGCAATCACAGTGGAGAACATTGCTTTCTTAAATTTGTCATTTTTGTTTTATGGTTATGTTTTTTGCCAACAGTAAACTTTGAAAGAGTGTATCACTCTTATTTTTGAGTTTTGATAAAAAAGTTTCTTGAAATATTTGTTTTTCTATTTGACACCCTGTATATTTTAAAGTAAATGAAGATATTTAGTGTTTTTTTTAAATAATAAGGGCTTTTTCGTACACTTGTACCACATTTAAGTGTTATTCTGCTCGAGGGAGATAAGCTTGAGGAAATGTCTAAAAAATCATTATCTTTGCTTATCAGTGAAAGTACTTGAAATGCTTTTAAGATGTTACGTATCTACCTAATACAGAATTTTTTTTTAAAACAATAATCGAATTTGGACAGATACATATTTATTAATAAATAAAAAAAATATAGATAAAATGTTATTTTAAGGGAAAATTTGACACGTGTTTTTAATCCTAATTTTTCAATTATACCTAAACATTAAATGTACACGTTTTTATAATACGTAAGTAATTTTTAAAAACACGTTTGAAAAACGCCAATAACGGTGCAAGGTATCAAATAGTATACCGGGTAAGTTGTTTAATGTGTTACAAAACAGTTTAAAATTTTAGTAAACTAATGGAATCAAAATTTTTTGCACACACCTAGTTTTTTTCGTAGTTTCGATTTTTTTAAAGTACAACATCCCCTCAAAATAAGGAAATGGGGTAGGTGTCAAAAATATGTTTAAATATTCTATTTGTATACCAAAATTTCACAAAAAAAAATTAAACCGTTTTCGAAATATCCCCTTGTAACTAGGGTTGGGACAGTTGAAATTTACAAATGAAAATTTCAACTTTGAAAGTTTCAAACTTGAAATAGTTCATTTAATTGGAAAAGTGAAATTTTTAAAAATTTCAAATGAAATTTTCAATTTGAAAATTTCAACATTGCCTGTGAAACTTTCAGAAATTTCATTGAAAGTTTCGCAATTTACTGAAAATTTCGCATAAATTTCACATGCGGCCTCCCCTGGGAGTTATCAAGCGTCTGGGCGTTTTTGTCTAGTTAGGCTATAAGTAATTATTGTTACTTAAATGCATGCAATAAAAGTCATGATTAATTTAAACTTTTACTTTTGCTATAATTTCATCGAAAAACGGATAAAAAATGCCTTTGGCTCATAAAATTTTCAATTTTCGTAAAATTTCACTAACATACATAAAAATAATAAATATATATAAATATAAATCAATGAAAGTGGCACAATCTCATTACCTTACCAAAAAGTGCTCTATCTATCTTAGTTTTAGTAATTTTAAAAATATTTAAAAAGGAAATCTCTAGAAATTTGTGGTAAACATAGGTATTTTATTTATATTATTGGTGGTCAGGGGCCCACAGAGGGGTAAAGTGATTAAATTTCATAAATTTCAGGAAATTTCAGAAATTTAGGAAATTTTAATAAATTTCATAAATGACATGAAAATTTCAAGTACAAGCAAAAAGTGAAATTTTCCCAACCCTACTTGTAACTCGGTATAATAAACTTTTTTTCAGTATTTCTCTTAAAAATTGCGCACAAGCATGCTGCAGATTTAACAAATACATTTATCTATTTTGCGTTCATAATGACTAAATTATAACACCGCTTTTGTTACTGTAATGAGATACTTTATCCCACCCAAAATTTTAATTTTATAGGTTGGCTATACTTTAAACAGCATCATATTTTGCATATTGGTTATAATATTTTTATGATTTTTCTAGTTCAATAAATTTTGTTTAACACTAAAGAAAATCCTTTTTTTCTTCTTTAACATTAACAGCCGCTTATTGTAAATAAGTAAATTAAGGACGGCATGCCGAATCGATTTTGACATTAACTGTCAAACCAATGACTGTGATACCAACTATCTAAAGTAAAATTTGACCAAATTAAATTTAAGGTATAAAATTAATTTTTTTATAGAATTTTTGCCAAATTGATAAAATAGCATAAAGAACTCATGCCTTTTGTCGCACTCGTCCATTACAAAACTCGATCCTTCGTTGTTTGTTTTATAAATTGTCCGCGTGCGACAAAATGACGTCTTATGACATTAGTTCTTTAATATACAATATATACTATTAAATATTCCATTTGTTTACCAAAATTTTACAAAAAAAAATTAAACCACATACGACATTTGATAAAACTTTTTTCAGTATTTCTCTTAAAAATTGCGCACAAGCATGCTGCAGACTCAACAAATACCTTTAAACGACTCAAATAGTAAAATCTTAAAATCTGGTAATTTTAGATCCACTGTCACGCCGATGCAAAATACTGCAACAAAATCAAAAAATAGCAATTTAACAAAATCTATCACCTGTACAAACACATTATCTAATCAGTTGACAACAAATAAATCAGAACAATTATTAAAAAAATGTTACAAGTAATAATAAAAATGTTTTTTTGCAGACAGTCCAAAATGAGACGCCGAAAAAGATGGGTGACGATATGCCAACTGATCATAGGTGTAGTGTTCATCCTGACGGGCACATTCTTATACTTCCAGTTCGAGTGGCTGTACGACAAGATTTTAAACACAGCCCTGACAATCTCCCCAACATCCACGGCATTCAAAGTGTGGAGAAAAAACGACCCACCCCTGATAATGGACATTTACCTCTTCAACTGGACCAACCCTGAGGACATCAGAGTGCCAGGTGTCAAGCCCAGATTGCAGGAGATCGGGCCGTACAGGTTCAAGGAGGTTAAGGAAAAAATGAACATAACGTTCGACGATGCGAAAAAGACTGTTAGTTACATGCATCGCAAGTTGTATCACTTCGATGCCGAAAATAGTGTTAGGAATTTAAGTGATGTGATAACTACTTTAAATGCCGTTCCTTTGGTGAGTTAAGTTGAATTAATTAAATTTAAAAAAATTTATCAGGTTTTCGAAAAGTTCTTCATGAACACTTAAATGTCATTATGACGTCATGAGCTCTCATTGTGAAGGCATCATGAGCTCATCATGACGTCTGTATGACTACAAACGTAAAAATCATCAATCATAGACATGCATTTATTGATATTTTCTTGGAAATAAGGAATGCAATTTAACTTTAAAAACTATTACTTAAATAAGTATTTATATTTAAATTACATATTTTGAACATACCTATGTATATGTGGGTCATTATACTATTAAGGCTCTCTGACATTTCTCAGTTGTCCCTAACATTTCTTATTAAAAAAGTATATGATTTTGATCCAATTTTAAAATGTTAAAAAAAAACTATTTTATCCGAAATCGGCAGTAAAGTAGTCAGCAATCGGCAGTCGATTTAATACGAGTATTGTATGCAACCCATTATACATTTTAAGATGTTTCTACTGCTCCTCAGCAGCAACTAAATAATATTTTAAAAAAGAACCGTCACGGAGGTCGACTGGACCCTTTCATAAAATGTTGTTTAATAAAAAAATAAGTTAATTTTATAAATTAGATTATTTCCCTCATTATAATATGAACCAATCAAAAGCCTTGAATTTTCGAATAAATTTCGTTTAAATAAGCGATTAAATCACTAGAACTATTTAACAGCGATTAAATTTTAGCCTCCATATTGGACTTTTGTTTACGATTTTATGGTGTTATTTACAAGTTTTAACAAACATTTTTTAAAAAACAATAAAAAATAAGTTATCTAGTTTACGAAATATCAATTATTACTTATTACATACCTTAAATGAATGGAATTTTCTTTAAAAAAATATTTATAAATTTTGACACATACGTCAGATTTTATGAATTGTCAAATAGTTTCCTTTAATTCGAGAAATAATCTAGACGTATATCACTCAACCTATAAATTTAATCTGTCAAACTATGCTCAGTAAGTTTTTTATTTAATTTTTTTTTTTTTGGAAAATAGTTTCATGCAAAATAATTAAAAATAAAACCCCTCGACCGCTACGCCGTCTCGTGATTTTATTAAATTATTTTGCATTCAACATTTTCCAAGAAAAACCAAACAAAAAACTACTGAGCCTAGTTTAACCGATTAAATTCATAGTTCTCGTGATATAATATTAGATTAAAAAATATTGTGTGCACCACTGCCAAAAAGATCAGACTTGTCCAAAAAAGTCACAAATAACTATTTACCAATTTTTTATGATGTAATTTTTTTAAAATTTGTTAAATTTTGACTTTTAATTATTACAAGTGGTTAAAAATTACAAATAATTTTAATAAAAGCGCATAACTATTTACCAATTTTTTATGATGTAATTTTTTTTAAATTTCTTAAATTTTGACTTTTTATTAAGCAAAATATAATATTACAAGTGGTTAAAAATTACAAATAATTTTAATAAAAGCGCACTTGTTCGTAGAAGCTTGAACGCAAATATTCTGCTTCATTTTCACAAGCGGTATTTGGGGAGAATATTTCTCAAGTAAAATTACAAAAAAATGGTAAATATATTAAAATTTTACAGTTTCTTTTTCTTGAATATCACTTATTTTAACGAATTTTGTGCAAAAACTGGTTTTGACGTTTTTGGTTAATATAAAACAAACTGTTGTCATAGCAACGTGGTATTTTCCCAGTAGTTTTGAAATTTCTACTTATTAATTCAGTAAAATATTTAGGAAAATTATTTTTCCTCTGATTCTAATTCAAATATACCGAGTGTTCCATGAAAAAAAAATAAAATTAATTAAAAAGAAATATTTTTGCAATATCTCAAACCATGCCAGTTGTTTTCTATATTACTTTAAATTAAAATTTTATTAATGTATATGCCATTTATCTAAAAACCCACCTAATCAAAAATTACTCAAAAAAGCTATGCGTAAATGTTTTGTTTATTTTTTCTACGAAATTAATTTTATTGATAAGTTATACCATGTACTTAAGTATACTATTTTAGAAATTATAATGACAAAAATACGCAAATAGCAAATTAACAATGACGAATACATAATAAATTGGAGTTAAAAAAACTCATTTACATACATAAATTTAAGTACGCAAGTTCAAATTATTTCCCTGTTATAATGTTATCATTAAGTACCATTATTTTTCTACGAAAAAAATGCTAATAATTATAATTAATACATTATTTTTATATATGTATTTATATTTATATTACATTAGTTAAGATTTGTAATCAAATTTTGACAAATTTAACTCTCAATTATTAAAAAATTTCAAAAATTTTTTGTGGAAAAAATACCTTGCGATGAAATATTTAAACAAATTTGTTCTTCCACTTTTGGATATAAAATAACACATTTTTATTATTTTCAGGCCATAGCTTATAAGTTTAGAGATGCGAATATATTTGTAAAAAAAGGCATTTCTTTTGGTTTATCGAGCATGGGAACAAAAGTTCACGTGACCAAAACAGCGGGTGAAATTTTGTTTGATGGGTATAAAGATGATATTTTAAGTGCACTGAGCTGGCTACCTATCAATGACGTAAAGGAAAAATTTGGAATATTTTATGGGGTAAGTAAAGTTGTTTAGAATTTTATAATGAATTTTCCTGAATTAACTCAATAATAACGCAATGCGTTTTAAAAATGCATAGGGGTGAATATATTGAGATGTCCCCCAAGTGAAAATGATTATTTTTTATTTTTGGTTGTTTTACTGTTAGTCTAGAATGGGATTTTGGGAAGTCACCAGGTATAGTAATAACATAACATAAGTGGTTCTGCACTAATGCAAGAATTTAAGAAATCATACATTTTGAATATTAGAGCTTCACGGAGGTTAGGATGTCATATGTTTTTTTAAACATCCCTTTGTATATTTGAAATAAGTTATTGTATCTTTTACACCTTAATATTAAAAAAAACAATTGTACATTCATAAAATATTTATAAAAAAATCTACTTACTGAGATATTACACTTCACGGTGGATAGGTTTTTAAATAGCAAATTAATGAACTTAAATTTTTGAATTATAAAACAGCAACACTCACATCTGCATATAAATTCTAACTGACCTTCAGGAATCACATGCATCTATATGTCGTAAACAGAGGTTTTTGCTTATTTAAAATGATTAAAGCGCCATCCGTTGCCTAAAATTTAAAGCAAAAACAGATTCACGGAGGATAGAATCAATTTTTGTAACACCTACATAAATAGTTATAAAATTTATTTCTTTTAATTTTTAATAATATTTTATATTTGATTCGATTGCTTTGGATGTGTTTATGACTTCTTAAGAAATTTTTCTTTTACTCTGTTGTTTTTACTTTGACTTTTTTTGACTTTGTTTTCACATTCCAAGACAGCGACGTGGTGTAGGGTTAACAGCTATAATATAATAAAATATTATTAATTATGTAAGAATAAATTTCCCACATATTATACGCATACAATGTAGCAAAAGTCCGTTGTTAGTTTATAATGTTTCTATTTGAAATCCTTGAAGAAAATAAAAGTTTTAAACTGGTTAGTTGAAAAATAAACAAAGTAAAAATATTGACAAGTGGTTTTACAATATTTAATTTAATATAAAGGCTCGTGTTAAGAACATAAGAAGTTTAAAATAAAATGTACAGGAGTTTGCATACTTTAAAAACTATTCAAATATGTGGATATTTTAATAATAGTTCCTAATATAATATACACTAATAATACAACAAAATATTACTTATAAATTTACATTATTTTATTCAAAACAAAACAAAAATAAATAACACACCTGGTGATTGAATATAAATATGAAAACAAAACTAAACAAAAATTAATATCGTGTGGGTTACATGTATAAAATGTTCAAAATTAACACCATACATGGTCTATGTCGATACAAACCAAAAAGGTGTTAAATATGGTTCGTGTAAATTCAAATACTTTTCAGTGTTAAATATTATGTGTTCTTGGTCAAATTAAATCATACTAGGTGTAAAGTGCACTTATCAGTAGTTCGAAAAGATCAAATATTTTTAGATAGGTAAACACCGTTTTGGTGTTTGCTGTATATAAAATTTTCAACCATTATTTATGGTGTTTATACTAACACCACTTGGTGTTGGATTTCTACATTTTTAGATTACCCTTTACACCACAGATATTTTAAACAGTGTATTTTAAAGTTAATCAAAAATATAATTTGTAAAATCGAATTTTTTTAAATAAACCAGAACAGTCAGCCAAAGGGCCAGGGGGGGCAAGATGACAGATGAAGGGTGTGCAATTGTAGGTTAAATAAATACAATTTGTAGTGAAAAATCTTAATGCTAAATCGAGGTCAAAATCAGCACCTAAAGTTGATATCTTAAGTAAAACTACCTTCATTTTTAACCTAAGCCCCGACCACTATTAAAAAAAACTAAAAAATCAGAAAATGAAAGACAAAATCATATTTTTTTGCAAACAGGGTTTTGTCTTACTTTTTGACTCTTTTGAATGTACTCCCAAGGTTTCAGATTTTTTACCCGAGCCCCAACCCAAAAAAATCAAAAAAAGGTAAAAAAAAAAATTTTCTTACTTTTTGAACCTTCTGAAGGTACTCTCAAAGTTTTAGATTTTTAAATTAATTTTTAACCTAAACATATTTTATTTTAATCCACCTTTAAAAAAAAAGTCATAAAAAGGTTATAAAAAACGATTTTTTCTTACTGTATTGTACTCTCTAAAAATGAATTAGTCAAAAATGACTAATTACTACAGTTATTAGTGGCTGCTTTTTCACTTGTACCATGGTTAACCAAGGAAAACCACGGTATCAAAAAAATTAATAGCCAATTCTTATGTAAAATTGTCCCCTGAATCCGAAAATACCATAAAAAATTATGAAAGTGAAGCAGTTTTTGAGATATAGTCAATTCCATATTAAATGTAAAATTGACTAGGTATATCTCAAAAACTGTTTAACTTTTTTAACTTTTGACGACATTTTCGGATTCAGGGGACAATTTTACATAAGAATTGGGATACCATGGTACTCCATGGTACAAGTGAAAAAGCAGCCACTAATAACTGTAGTAATTAGTCATTTTTGACTAATTCATTTTTAGAGAGTAGCTTTATATACTCTAAAAATGAATTAGTCAAAAATGACTAATTGCCTTAGCGAAAACATTAATAATTATTGTCAACATCAATTTAGCAGTCAACTATTTAAAATTGTCCGCTGAATCCGAAAATGTCGTCAAAAGTTATAAAAGTAGAACAGTTTTTGAGATATAGTTAATTTTTCATACAATATATGGAATTGACTATATCCCAAAACTGCTCTACTTTTATAATTTTTGACGGTCTTTTCGGCACTGTTGTCAAAACTTAAGTAGGTATAGGACGAACAAAAATGCCAACCAAAACTGATAGCATATTTTGATTATAGACCCTTTTGGTAACACTAAAATGTATTTATCAAAATCCCAGCTGATCCTATTTTAAAGTTTTGCAAACTTTTTTGTTTTTCTATTTCTATATATTAGTTTGCAATTATTGTATTAAAACTACCTGTACAATTTTAATAAAATTAAGCAAAATAATAAACTTTGTATCATTTAAATTACTTTACTCCCCAGTATTAATTTATTGAGTCACCCATTATTTTTTACCACTCAAAACAAAACATAACAAAAAAAACGAAGATTTATATCTAAAATATTTTTTATAACAAAAAATACTGGAAGTTTGTCTATGAAATAATTACAACTTGCAAATTTTGTAAAACAATAAATAAGGTGGTTATGAAAAAAATTGCTATACGTTATAACGCAAGTGACATTTTGCTTTAGTTGTTTATTTAATGTACCTATTAAATTAAACCAAAATTCAAGTTAAGCCATGAAGAAAATCGAAAGAAGGTATGTGCTGGCTGTGGAGACAAAATTGTTTTTGGTAATCGAAAAATTCAGAGTTTAGTGTTTCTGAGAAAATATAAAAATTACTGCAGACTTTTTCAAACGAACACTTTAACTTAAGTGATTTAAAATTACCTACTTCAATATGGTAAAAACGGTATTTTTGCATAGCCACAATTGCCAAATTTTCAAAATTTTGAAATTGTTAGAGAATTTCGCGGCAGCCAAGAATGTATGTGCTTTATCTGCAAAATTGCAAGATATACTTAAATGGCATAAAAAATTATTAAGGGAAGAGGACGGACGAACGAACTTAAGTTTTGATATGCTCTTCCTTTCTAGGGGATATCGCTAGATGTAAGAAGCATGTTTGTACAGAGACTGAAGAATTTAAAAATACTGTTTCCATGTTAAAAACAATTCCATGTAAAACCCAAGAAAAAGTTTTACTGAAAATTTAAGACAAGCAGTAATCGATTTTGCTTCAAAGAATCTTTAGTTATTTATTAGTTTTGTATTAGGTACCTTAAAACAATAAATACGATATTGCAAACTGTATTTTACATTATTTTGTATTTATAATGTAATTTATCCATATTTCAGTCATGTACCTGCCAAATTTTTAAAAGCATTTGATAATGGTACTAGAGTATTTTATCGAAATGGCATAACCAATTTTAAAATACTAAGAAATATGCAAAACTTTAATAAAGGATCAGCTGGGATTTTGATAAATACATTTTTGTGTTACCAAAAGAGTCTATAATCAGATTATGCTATCAGTTTTGGTTGGCATTTTTGTTCGTCCTATATTTTAGTTTTGACCACCGTGGACTATAGTTATTAGTGACTTCTTTTTCACTTAGACTAATTCATTTTTAAAGAGTATACATATATATACCTTGGTCGGATAATATTTAAAAAAATACATTACAAACGTTTTTTAGAAAAATGGTACGATAGGCAATGACGGCAGATACGTAATGTCCGTTGCAAATGACAAAAACTTCGGTAAACTATTATCTTGGAACGACAGAAAAGAAACGAACTTTTACACTGGCCAATGCAACAGCATGAAGGGCTCCGCTGGAGAGTTTTACCCGCTGAACAGAAAAAGGGACCGCATTCAGTTTTACTCCTCTGAATTGTGTCGACTGGCAACGTTGGAGTACGAAAGAGACGTCGTTATTAAAGGAGTGCAAGCTTATAGATACACCGCCAGGAATATTTTCGACAACGGTAAGAATATGTACTAAAATTAAGTTTTTAGAAAGTCGAGAAATTTAAAAACACTCAAATTCAAATTTTTAAAAAACATAATTAACAGTTATAAAGAGTTTATAATGCATTTTTTATTATTAGCAAATTTTACATTTTTATATTATGTATTAAGTTTGATAAACGCCAGAAAAGTTTATAAACGTGGTGCATACTATACTTTTTCTACGACAAATACTTATTATTATCTTAAAATGATTTAAATCAAAAATTTGTATAGAGCGCCATCTATGAAACAATAAGGGAATTTGTGTCACCGTCAAATGTCAAATTTTTAAATTTTATAAACACAATTATAAAGGTTATAAATCGAAATGTATTTCTTGAAAATTGACAGTTTTTCACAGTGAAAGTAAAGAAAATCTTTTATGCACAGTAAGTCCGTGCCCGAATTTAAGTTATAGTTTACTGCCATATAAACTTTTCAAATATTGGCGTTGGGAAACTATTTAATACTTTTGTATTGAGATAATAATAGTTATTTATGTCCTTAGGTTAAGAAGTAAGGCTTTTTGTGCTAAGCTCAAGGTTTGAAGGCCGACGCGTAGCGGAGACCTACAATTGAGCGAAGCATAAAAAGGCACTTCTTGGCCGAATGGCATACAACATTTTATCTTTAAAGAACTTTATATAAGTCAATTTAATTCAACATCAAAGCGGCCTAACCTCACTTTTTTAGAATCTCATTTATTTATTTGCTATTAAATGTACAATAATTATTATTGCTTTTAGAAGCCCTTCCTCCTTCGGAGGGGACTTTAAGCCGTCGGTCCGTTCCTACCCCTAACCCGCACAAGCCATTCAGTTGGCTTATGGGACATCTTAGTTTGGATGTAAGGGTGGAACTAAAAGAGCACTTTTATAATAAGAGTTAAAAAAAAAAAAATAGTTTGACAATACCTCGCTACATGATTTAAGTAGAAATGGATTTTTGCTATTACATTGAATTCAATTAATTGTTTAATAAATAGGTAGGTATCTAATTTCAATTTGTTTGGATTTTTATTTAAAAAATTGGTAGTTTGGAATGTTTAAGCTGTGTTTAACATTTAATTTCACTGAAAACTTAAAGCAAATTAAAACTTAAAGATAATTTAAATCGTAGAAAAAGAATCGTGCGTTTTCTTGGTTGCCTAACCTCACTTTTTGTTTTATTATTCATATTTAATTTTACAATAAGTTTATGAAAAATATTAAACATTAACATTAAAAATTAAACAAACAAGTTAGTGCTTATTATAAATAAATTAAACCAGTTTAGTACGTTAATTTCTTAGAAAAGGATTAATTTGTCAAAACAATACCCCTAGCGAGAAAAAATCGAACTAATTACTTGCCTCATAAAATTTTTTATCGGCCTAGGCCATAAAAAGGTATTTCTTTATCGAATGTTGACAACAATAAAGTTTAAATTATAGACCGCGTGGAGATAAAATAATTTTCACATTTAGTATTATTTTACAAGAAAGGCAATTTATTTTTACGATTGTATGACAACTGTCAACTAACTTAAAACTAATTTCAGCACGTGACTAAAAACCTGTTGCTAACTTCAGCACGTGACTAAAGCGCTATAAAGCCACAACTTGTCAATGTGTATTTAAAAGGTCACTTAGTGTCATGGAAACATGTACGATAAAGGGCGTTTTAAAGGTGTACAAAAAATATTTTTCGTAAAACCAAAGCTGTGGTTAATTTACCAAAAATTATATCAAAAGTTAAACTAAATAGGTTCCTTTTATTAGTTAAATTATACTATATACGATTGGTAAACTTAAAAGGTTATATTTTGATTCATAGTAACCTTAAAAAAATAAAAAAAAACAAACATAAATAATATTCGTACAAAATTTAAACTCTCTAGGTTGCCATTTACTGGCGTTTTAAAGGTGGGAGTAGAAAAAATATTAAATATAAAAGTAATATAGGATCCAGAAATATTTCACGGTATTTTTGTATCACCCTGTACATATTCATCGTTTAATTATAATTTAATTTTATGATCCATGAACTAAATAATACATTTGTTTATTGATAGACAATAGTTATAGTAACTGGGGAAAGTAATGTAACGTTTTTTAACTGTTCGTAGTGTGAATTAAAACACGCACTGGTTAATTAACGAACTAAACTATTTATTTAATAACTTAACTACACTTAAAACACTATAAAACTAACTAAACACTTAACTACTAATTATTTATATCACTACTATTGTTCAAGAGTGTATTTATTTGCACTTATATTTATTTATTTCGCCGCGAGTACCAAATCTTAACTAACTGCCGTGTACTGCTCCGTTTCTTATATATTCAGCGCCAAGGTCTTCTGGAACATTCCAGCGAGCTCCACACTCTCGATTGTTCGAGCGCTGAGTCACCGGCGATGACTCATCGGCGATGACTAACCGGCGATGAGTCATCACTCCGATATCCAGAGCGGTACTCGCTACATTGCCCCCGTCTTAAAACATTTTCGTCCCGAAAATGGTCCTCAGTTCCATGGCGATATTTGCATAGAGATCCAAACTTGCATTGTGACGTCCTATAGAAGTAGCAGTCTACGGTCTTCCTTCCGGATGTTCTTTTAGGGTTGTGGCAACAGACAAGAATGTGTATGCCACTAAATCTGAAGATAACTTCCACCATACTTCTAATTATTCTCCAGTCTAAGCCGTCAAGTCCACAAGCAATCTTCGGTATCGCCAGGTTCATGATGTCCTTGGACAAAAGGATATCCCTCAATTTATTTAAGGCATTCCATACGTCACGGTAATTTGGCTTCTGATTGGAGAGTTGCTTCGTTACCAGATAGAAGATACTTCTATTGCCTATCTGCTCATTATCCACAATTTCAAGCACCTCTCCAATTTTGGGATTCTGCCTTCGTAGCTCGTCGACCCGTCCAAACTTGTTTTTAAAGACAACCGCTATTCCCCTGGACATCCTAAGGTCTTCCGCAACACAGTGAGCCAGGGAGTAATCGGCCGAAACCGTGAACAGATCTTTTTGCTCTTCTCGAGTGACACCATACCGAGCTTTTTTACCGCTCGAATATAAATACATGAAGTCTTCAAAAGGCAAGTCGTCTTCCGGCGGATTAACTCTCCTTACTCTAGCATCGTCTATTTGAGCATTGTTTCCAGCGTAAGGGGCCAATCGGTTAAAATGGATCACTTTCGGCTTTCCTCTTGGTTGTTTCCTGATCCTGTAGATGATGTCATTTATGCGATCCATGACTTCGTATGGTCCTTCCCAAGAAGTCTGCAGCTTCGGTGAATAACCACGACGGCGCTGAGGGTTGTATAACCAAACTAGGTCTCCAGGTTGAAATCCTCCATTTTCCGCCTTGATGTCGTATGCCTCTTTCATTCTATCACTGGCGCTCTGGATGTTTAAACGAACTCGGCTGTGAATGTCGCTCATTTTCCTACGTAAATTGTTGACGTAATCTTCTCCAGCAATATCATCCCCTGGTAGGCAACCAAACCTCAGGTCACAAGGTAGACGAAGTTCACGCCCCATAACAATGCTAGCGGGTGTCTGGCCGGTTGTATCGTGGATAGAAGAACGGTACGCCAACAGGAACAGATGAAGGAAGCGGTCCCAGTCTCTTTGGTGATCAGAGACTACCTTGGACAGGTACCGGTTTATCGTTCGATTCATTCGTTCTACCATTCCATCAGACTGCGGATGTAATGCAGTCGTCCTCGTCTTCCGAATGTTAAGAATTTTACAGACATTCTGGAACAGTATAGATTCAAAGTTCCTGCCTTGGTCTGAATGCATCTCCATTGGCACACCAAAACGACAAATCCACTCCTTAATAAGGGCATCGGCCACTGTGGCAGCTTCCTGGTTTGGCAAGGCGTACGCTTCCGCCCACTTGCTGAAGTAGTCCATTACAACGATGATGTATTTATTTCCAGATTCTGTTTCCGGAAATGGACCCGCCACGTCGATTGCAATTCTCTCAAATGGGCTGCCCACATTGTACTGTCGCATTGGGGCTTTTGGGCGCTTCTGGGGTCCATTGCTTGCCGCGCAAACGGCGCACTTCTTGCACCATTCCTTCACATCTCGCTGGCTGTTGACCCAATAAAACCGTTCCCTAAGTCTTCCGAGCGTCCTGGTCACCCCAAGATGTCCTCCAGTAGTTCCATTATGGATTTCCTGCAGCACTTCTGGTATCCTATTTCTGGGGATTATTATCTGCTTCCGGTCTTCCCCCCCTTCTGGCAACTCCAGAACGCGCTTTAGAAGCCCGTCACTTAAGATGATGGAATTCCATTGGGCCCAGTACGATTTCACATTCGGCGAATATTGGGCGACTTCCTGCCACGTTGGTTTACGGTCGTTCTTCTTCCAATCGATGATAAGCTTCAAATCCGGATCCCTTTCCTGGTCTTGTTGAACCTCAGCGGATTGCCAATGATCATCCACGATTGTAGTTCTGCGAACAAACACATCCTTTTCTTCGGCCCTGAGACAATGTTTACAGTCTTCCGAGCACGGTCTTCTTGACAAGGCGTCAGCATTTCTATGGATGGTCCCAGCCCGATGTTCTGTGTCAAAGTCGAACTCCTGTAGTCTCTCAATCCATCTTGCTACCTGTCCTTCAGGATTCTTGAATTGCAAAAGCCATTTTAGGGCAGCATGATCCGTTCTTAGCAAGAATTTTCTTCCATACAGGTACTTGTAAAAGTGTTCGACTGCCTTTACCACTGCCAACAGCTCGCGTCGAGTAACACAGTAATTTCGTTCTGGTTTGGATAAAGTTTTACTGAAGTATCCAATAACTTTCTCCTTTCCCGCTTGAATCTGCGACAAAACAGCTCCCAGGCCCACATTACTTGCGTCCGTGTCCAAAATAAATTCACCATCCGGAAGAGGATAACTTAAGACTGGTGAGCTGGTCAACGCGTTTTTCAGGTTCTTAAAGGCTTCTTGGCATTCTTCGTCCCATTGGAATCGTCTTTCTCCCTCTGTTAAACGTGTCAAAGGCTTAGCAACCTTTGCGAATCCAGGTACGTACCGCCGGTAGTAGGTGCATAATCCAAGAAAGCTTCTTAAGTCATGTTTGTTTTTTGGTACTGGCCATTCCCGCACCGTCTTCACCTTCTGTTTGTCCACTGCCACTCCTTGACTCGAAACAACATGGCCCAAATACTGCACTTCCCTCTGGAACAAGTGACATTTCTTCGGGCTTAGCTTCAGGCCGGAACTTCTTAAGCGCTGAAAGACTTCCTTCAGGTTCTTCATATGGTCCTCAAATGATTTCCCAACCACAATGATGTCGTCAAGGTACACCAAGCATGTCTTCCAGGATAGTCCCTTTAAAACCATTTCCATGAGCCTTTCAAAAGTTGCAGGGGCATTACATAGTCCAAACGGCATGACAGTAAACTGCCACAGTCCAGCACCCACGGTAAACGCCGTCTTTTCTCTATCTTCTGGTGCCATTTCAACCTGCCAGTAACCGCTTTTCAAATCCAGAGTCGAAAATATTTGGGATCCAGCCAATGTATCCAGGGTGTCATCGATCCTAGGTAGAGGGTAGCTGTCCTTCTTCGTCACGTTGTTCAGCTGACGAAAATCGACGCAAAATCGAGTTGATCCATCCTTTTTCTTAACTAACACCACTGGGGAAGACCATGGGCTGTTGGATGGTTCGATCACCCCTTCCTTCTCCATTTCTTGCACAATTTTATCAGCTTCCTCTCGCTTGGCAAGTGGTAGCCTTCTTGCCGACTGTCGAATGGGCTGTGCATCACCGGTGTTAATTTTATGCTGGACAATTCTTGTCCTACCCTTCTTTTCTTGTCCATCATCAAAGACGTCCTGATAGTTGTGTATCAGCTCTCTCAGCTTTATTCTCTCATTTGGTTTTAAGTCCTTTGAAGAAGTCGAAAGCAGAGTCGTCAATTCATTGCTAATTTTCTTGGCCGGAACTCCAGACTCACGAATGCTTCTAATAATTGAGGAAACAGAGGAACAGTTCCCCAAAACGATTCCTTTTTTCAAGTTCACAGAGTAACCATTAACATTCAATACTCTTACAGGCACTTCTTTTCCGACACGTATTAAAGTCTTCCCTACTACAACTCCTCGACCGACCTCTTTGTCATCAATTCTCGGCTCCAGAAGCATTATACTTCCATCTTCTGATTTACAATCCAAGAAAGCCTTCAATATCATCTCGCTGTGTTCCGGTATCAAAGCATCTTCTGTTAGCATTACACGAATATTCTTTTCTTTTGATCGATGCAACACGACTTCTTCTCCATTTACTCTCAATATTCCTTGTTGAAAGTTTAGTTCAAATCCTATAGAGTTCATAATGTCCATGCCTACAATAACTTCATCTTCAATATCTGCTACTAATGCTCGATGTTTAAATTTCGTGTTTCCTATGACCATCGTGATGTCCACTTCTCCATGAACAGTAGCAGTATCTCCTGTTGCAGTACGTAGTCGCCGATTGGTAGATTTTATCTTCGACTTTTCGACAATATCTGGCCGAATAATTGTCTTCGTCGCACCTGTATCCAGCAGCAGCACATGTAACTTTCCATTAATAAAGCCATCCACAAAAACACTGCTGGACTGATGTAGAAGAGATGCGACACGTTCGATATCCTCTGGGGCATGCTGGTTACAGGTCGACGGTTGCCCCTTTTCCTCGACCCTATCTAGTTTTCCGACTTGGATGAAGTCGGCGCCTCCTGGCTTTCTCTGCAACGACTTCGTATATGTCCGAGCTTTCCACATCTCCAACACCGGATTTCCTTCTTCTCTGGTAGGTTTTCTTTAAAAACTCGCCTGATTGCTTCAATTATTCTGGGTTCCTCCTCTTTTTCTTCCTCGACTCTCCTTATTCTAGGCTGGCTCCTACAGCTCTGCTTTGCCGCCTCGAATTCCAAAGCTCGAGCTAATGCATCAACCAATTGGCTCGGACGAGCCAATGTCAGAGCCTGTCGTGTTTCATTGTCCCGAAGTCCATCCAAAAAGGCTTGAACCGCTAATCGTTCCATAACGGTCGTTGGAGTAGCTGGATATGCTAGCCGGACCAAGCGTGCAATATCAGCCTCAAATTCTTGTAAAGTCTCGTTCGATTTCTGGCAGCGATTCTTCAATTGGGAATGGTACACATGTTCCAGATGTGTCTGGCCATATCGAAGTTCCAGATGTTTTACTAACGCTTCGTAATCTTCTTGTTCGTTTGGAGAAAGCGTCTGCAAGATGTCCGTTGCATCTCCGCGTAAAGCCAGAGTCAACGCTGTAGCTTTTTCTTCTGGTAGCCAGCCATTTGCTTTTGCTGCTGCCTCAAACTGACGGATGTAGTTGGTCCAAGAAGTTTTTCCATCGAACTGAGGTGGTTTCATCCGGAGTCGGCTCCCCTCCTGCACTGTTCCTGGTTCCGCCAGCATCATGGGTAGATTTACAGCTTTTAATTTACTATTTATTTCTCTAATTTTGACTTCCAATTTATCATCCAATTCCATCCTTACTTCATTCAATTCCATCCTTACGTTATTTAATTCCATCCTTACATCGTCAACTTTCTGTCCTACTTTCTCTTCTAATTCATTGACATTATCTAGAATCTTCCCTTCCAAATATTCTTTTAGGTTTTTAGAATTTTCTAGAATTTTCTGCTGCAGTTCGCTAGAATTTTCCAGCATTTTCTGTTGTAAATTGCTAGAATTTTCCAGCATTTTCTGTTGCAAATCGTCCTTTAAATCGTTGACATTTTCTAACATTTTCTGTTGTAAGTCGCTAGAATTTTCTACCATTTTCTGTTGCAAATCATCCTTTAAATCTTTCAGTTCTTTAGAATTTTCTAGCATTTTCTGTTTTAAATCGTTAGAATTCTCCAACATTTTTTCGTTTAAATTTTGCAACATTAACTGCATATCACACGGGCCTTCAAATAAATACGTATCTGGATTTTCACCTTCCTGCTCCAACGCTTCTCGAAGCCGCTGCTGCAACACATTCTTTTTTCCAGTTGTTTCACATTCTCGTTCTTCCAGCTCCCGCTTAAGGTCCGCCACTTTTAAGTCCATTAACGAAACCATTTTCGCGAAATTTCACACTAACCGCACTCCTGACACCAATTGTAACGTTTTTTAACTGTTCGTAGTGTGAATTAAAACACGCACTGGTTAATTAACGAACTAAACTATTTATTTAATAACTTAACTACACTTAAAACACTATAAAACTAACTAAACACTTAACTACTAATTATTTATATCACTACTATTGTTCAAGAGTGTATTTATTTGCACTTATATTTATTTATTTCGCCGCGAGTACCAAATCTTAACTAACTGCCGTGTACTGCTCCGTTTCTTATATATTCAGCGCCAAGGTCTTCTGGAACATTCCAGCGAGCTCCACACTCTCGATTGTTCGAGCGCTGAGTCACCGGCGATGACTCATCGGCGATGACTAACCGGCGATGAGTCATCACTCCGATATCCAGAGCGGTACTCGCTACAGTAATAACAATAAATGACCTTATAAATAGAATGAAATTATTTTGCATAAAAAACAAACCATTAGGTATTATAATGTATATTACTTATTATGTGTATGTTTTTTGTTAGCAAGTAATTGATTTATTAAGTAATTGCGCTTGTATAATTATAATTGTTCATTTAAAAATAGTAATCAATAAATAAGTACCAACAAATACGGTTTATTCATAAATAGTCTTTCCTGGACTAAAACGAAACATCTTTAACTTTTTTTTTTTTAGGTACCCTAAGGAAAGAAAACGCTTGCTTCTGCACTGGGGAATGTCAACCCAGTGGCGTCCTAAACGTCTCGAATTGTCGTTTGAACTCGCCAAGTTTTCTTTCTTTTCCTCATTTTTACAATGCAGATCCGTATTACACGGAAGCTGTAGAGGGTCTGAACCCTAATAATCCAAAACACGAGTTTTACATTACAATGCAGCCAGTATGTAATTTTAGTGTAGGTATTCGTTATTTTCTTACAAAACATATTTTTAGAAAACTGGAATTATTATGGATTTAAGTGCCAAAATGCAGCTAAATTTCTTACTAAGGCCAGATGATTCAATATCGTAAGTAACATCTCACAAATGTATCGTTATTTTGTCCAGTCCAAAAAATCCATTATTTGTACTCATACAAGACTATAGTCTATAGACATATAAACGGAGAGAAAAGTATAATGCTGATTACCATAATAATTATTATAATACCCTTTACTATAATTTATATTACTATTTACATATTTAGTAATTTTTAAATATCCATGTATGTTAAACCTTATTCTCAAGCAATTTTAGTTTTAATTCTTATTATAATTTGATTATTTCCATTACTAATAAGTATAGTAAATTTTAAAATATTATGTTGCCATTTTAAATATAAAATATTTTAAAATCGAATATTTTTATATGTAAAAAATTAAAAATTGTAACATATTTATTGTACTTTTTAATATACAAAAATGTTACGAGAAAGAATTGAACCTAGAACCTAAAGTTTTTTGTGCGTTCCATCAACTTCAAATACCGACAGACAGGTGTTTTGACCTATATTAGGTATCATCAGTGTCGACACGACACTGTCGAGCAACTTGTAGTAGTGGAACACACCCAAAACAAAGAAATACCTGAGCTTATAACATGGTTGGTAAGCCAACAGAGGCGAGAGGTAAGAACATCGTGATCCACACCGTCTAACGACGCGTCGCGACGTGGCCTTTGCCGCAACCAAGTAGGTTCAATTCTTTCTTATAAGTATTACCAGTAATGGGTCAACAATGTTTATTGAAGAAACTAAGAAAATTGAATGAGTTACTATATTGTATATTTTATTTAAATATATTGTTTATTTATCTTAAACATAAAAGTATCTTTATTTTTACTATATTTTTTATTAATGTGTAATATATTATAATATTAGATGTACACCTTACATTTGATTAAATCATATATTAAATATTACTATTTGTCCCAAAAGTCAACGATATCCTTTGGAGGAATGATGGACCAACTCATGACCAACCAGAAAATCAAAACATGACCTTAGTAAAAAATCGTTAGTTTTTGAGATATACTCATTTTTATGAATTTTGTAAAACTTGACACCTTATATCAGTTTTTTGAGTGCCACAGCTACAAAATTCCATATTCTTAGATTATAGTTTATGTTGTGCAATCCTAAAAATGCCTGCTATTGATTTCAGTTCAAAATAAAACTAATAGTAGTTTTTTACCTTTTGAAAACAAACATTTTTGCCCGATTTTATAAGTTTTTTTTATTAGCTAACTTCGACCGTTTAGACTGTAAAAAAACATGTCACGCAAACTTGGCAAGTATTTTAAAAATTGCTAATTTAGTGTAATATGCCATGTTATACTTTAAAGAAAAAGAGATTGGTGTTTTACTGCAAAACGAGTTTATTGTTAAATTATTTCAATATTTAGGAATTTAAACAAAAACACTTCTTTAATGAAAATAACAGATATTTAATTAAAAACAAACGAATCACAAATAAAAATTAAAGAATGCGTTCAAAATACCTGCCACCAAGTCGAATGCAAGCGCGGCATCTTTTTAAAAAGGATCGTTTTATCTGTCTTGCACTTTCTGCGTCTTTTATTTGTTGTGCGGCTTCATTAATTTGCTCTCTTGGACTTTTCCTTTATGCAACCCCAGTAAAAAAAATCAAGAGGATTTAGATCCGGAGACCGGGGAGGCCACAAAATGGGACCAAGACGGCCGATCCATCTCTCTGGATAAACCTCATCCAAATAATTTCTTACTTCTCGAGCGTAATGAGCTGGACAACCATCATGTTGAAGCCAAATTGCCCTGCGTGTGGCGACAGGCACAACATCCAAAAGATTTGTCAGTTCGTTTTCCAAAAACTCTTGATAATTTTCCCCATTTAAATTTTTCAGGTAATTCAAAGGGACTGATTATTTGGCCGTTCAAGATGCCGGTCCACAAATTCACTTTAAAGCGATACTGTGACCTTTAATAATAATAATGAAGTGTAAGATTATGCCTGTTCATAAAACAATCTTTATGGAATGTGCATTTATCAGTCCATAAAATTTTATCCAGGAACTCTGGGTCTTCCCTATGTTTCTGCAACATTCTGCGGCAAAATTGGACACGTCTTGCGTAGTCACGAGGAAGCAACATTTGCACACTATGTACGTGATATGGGTGATACTGATACCGTCGTGTAATTCTGTTTGCAGTGGATTTCGGTATTCCTGTACGCCTTTCAATTCTGTGGGTAAAAGGCATAAGGGGATAAGTCAAAAAAAGCAATTTTTCAATAGAGCCTTTAACGTGTTCGCATTAATTCAGGAAACATATTTATGTTTAGCGGGTATACGCTTTTGTTAGCATATGACATGTGCTAACAAAAGGGTATACTCGCTAACCATAAATATATTTCCTGAATTAATGCGAATACGTTTAAGGCTGAACTGAAAAATTGATCATTTTGACTTATCCCCTTATGCCTTTTGCCCACAGAATTGCTCGCGCCGAAGTAGTTGGGTGATTTTCAATTTCTTGCAAAACCTCTTCATCATAATCCATACGTGGTCTTCCCATTCTACCACGATTGTGAGGCATTCTGCCTTCAGCGTATGCTTGGTGAACATTTATAAAGACGCGATAATCAGAATATCTCAAAGCATTCGGGTATCTTTCCCGATACAGGTTGGCTGAAGCTACACCATTACCTCTGCATTCACCATAAATGTAATGCATGTTTGCATATTCCTGAGCAGTATACTGGTACGGCATAATGAGTAGTCAAACGTCAAAAACGGAACACAAACACACAATTGAAGGTTCAAGTGGATAAAGGAGTTTTGATAATAAAGAACAAAAAATATTGTAATATTGTTATTAAAATTAAATTTTGTGTTGAAATTACAATATTTTTTGTTTAAAGGTGTCATCTTACATTTAAGTTAAGAAAGAACAAACAATATTGTGGTTGTAAATAAAAATAAATTTGGTATTGCAATTACAATATTTTCTTGGATGATGTGCCTGTCGCCACACGCAGGGCAATGTGGCTTCAACATGATGGTTGTCCAGCTCATTACACACGGGAAGTAAGAAATTATTTGGATCAGGTTTATCCAGAGAGATGGATCGGCCGTCTTGGTCCCATTTTGTGGCCTCCCCGGTCTCCGGATTTAAATCCTCTCGATTTTTTTTACTGGGGTTGCATAAAGTAAAAAGTCTTTGGAATAGTAATTCATAACGTACATTAATTGAGAGACCAAATTAATGAAGCCGCACAACAAATAAAAGACGCAGAAAGTGCAAGACAGATAAAACGATCATTTTTAGAAAGATGCCGCGCTTGCATTCGACTTGGTGGCAGGCATTTTGAACACATTCTTTAATTTTTATTTGTGATTCGTTTGTTTTTAATTAAATATCTGTTATTTTTATTAAAGAAGTGTTTTTGTTTAAATTCCTAAATATTGAAATAATTTAACAATAAACTCGTTTTGCAGTAAAACAACAATATCTTTTTCTTTAAAGTATAACATGGCATATTACACTAAATTAGCAATTTTTAAAATACTTGCCAAGTTTGCGTGACATATTTTTTTACAGTCTGAACGGTCGAAGTTAGCTAATAAAAAAACTTATAAAATCGGACAAAAATGTTTGTTTTCAAAAGGTAAAAAACTGCTATTAGTTTTATTTTGAACTGTAATCAATAGCAGGCATTTTTAGGATTGCACAACGTAAAATATAATCTAAGAATATGGAATTTTGTAGCTGTGGCACTCGAAAAACTGATATAAGGTGTCAAGTTTTACAAAATTCATAAAAATGACTATATCTCAAAAACTAACGACTTTTTACTAAGGTCATGTTTTGATTTTCTGGTTGGTCATGAGTTGGTCCATCATTCCTCCAAAGGATATCGTTGACTTTTGGGACACCCTGTATAGTAAAATCAATTTACTATACAAACATATTAAAAATTCAAATATATATTATACATTTATGATTTAGTAATATTGGTGTTGTAATCTTTAATAAAATTGTATAATAAAAAATACTATTGTGTATTACAATCTTAATATTGTATTGACGAATATATAATATTGTTACCCTAAAAATTTGTTAAAGTAAATTTTACTATATTTTTTTACTATCTAAAATTTACTATACATTTCTCTCCGTGTAAATAACTCATGTCTTTTTTCCAGAATATACAACGACGTGCCAAAAATCTTCTTCCCAATCTTCTATTTTGACCAAGACGTGAGGATGAGAGACGAACTGGCGCAAAACTTGCTCATGATTCAGAATTTACCTGAATACAGTAATTATTTGATAATGATTTTGATGTTTTTGGGTGTTTTGAACATCGCCTGGTTCGTCTGCTCAGTTTTTTACTGCCGAAAAACGAAATTCCCCCAGAATACTCAAAGTGGCGAAGAAGTTCCTTTACAAGAAAACGTTATCAAGCAAGGTTTAGTTTTAGTGAATTAGTGATATTATTTTTAAGACAATAAAGTGTATTTATTTTATAAATAATGGGTGTTTTATTTAACAGCCTTTAATAGTATACTATGTATCATGTTTGATAAATGCCAAATTTTAATTAGGGTTTAATTAAATGTGTGTCTAGAAAAGATAATAAATGAGTTGCATAATATATAAGTTCTACGACAAATACTTATTATTATATAAATATGAATTAAATTAAATATTTGTATAGGGCGACATCTATAAAAAAATAGAGTAACTCGCGTAACAATTTCTAACTTAGGAATCTGTATTACCGGCGCGCCAGTGTAAATGTCAAATTTGTGTGGGAAAATCGAAATTTATCCCTTGAAATTCATAAAGAAAAAATTTTTAATAAAAATTATCTTCAGTAATGGAAAGGTTTCCTATCCAAGAAGCCGAGTAGGTCATTTGGCAGATATATTTTATATTTAATGGCAATGTTTAAACTATATTTTCTAATACAAATGTCATTCTTAAGTAAAAAAAATGTGTTTTATTAAGAAATCCCGTTTTGAACATTTTATGATAAAAAATAATGCAATTATTAAAACTAGGTAAAACTGATAAAGGTTGGAAAAAATACAATTTAATATATTTTTTAGGATATATTTAAATAACAAGATCCAAATGCATAAGCACGTTGAAAAATCTAAAAAAAAGAATTCATAATTTGTACAAAAGTTTTTTTAAATTTACTTGTAAAAGTATATTATAATCAACATTGATCATTCCAAAAAATGATATACCCTTGGAATTTCCACATGCTAATAAAAACATAATATAAAAATTCTTATTTTCTTTGTCCCAAATTACCCACGGGCATTCCATAAGCGATGCGTTTAGTTCTGACAACTAAAATGTTAAATTTTATTAACTATAAAACTATTTGACGAAAGAAATTATTTAATTTATTTGCATTATTATTATTATTATTATTATTATTCTGTCACATCATTTTTAGGTTAGGTTCAACTGCCAAGCCTAATTTTGATACGGAGTTTAATAATAATTTGACTTTTAAAGTAGTATTATAATATGAAAATAATTGAACGCTTGAACAAAAACTAATTACCTTGTTAATGAGTGATTGTCCCAACCCTACTACGATATAATACACCACTACCATTAGAAATATAAATAAAAACGAAACGAAAACTTTATAGCCCTAAAATTTTAAAATTTATAAAATTATAAATTAAAAAGCAGACGTTACATTCATACGCAGGGCCGGATTTACCAATTAGCAAAATGAGCAGTTGCTTAGGGCCCTGGATGGACGGGGGCCCCAATTCACACAGACCTGGCAATTTTTTAGTTGTATGCATTTGGTGTTACCCCGTGATATTTAATAAAACGAAATGAGTTTGACCTACACTTTTATTATGTTTTGATCTTTCATAATTAAGTAGAAATTACAGCTCAGGTTCCAGACTTTTCACCGCAATTAATTATTTTTTACAATGTTTTAAAAGTCTAAAACCTATCCTCCGTGACTGTTACTCTTTCTAGGTTAACCTATATGTTTTCAAATATATGAGGTAGTAAAAGCATACTAAAAATATCAGTTCACTAAGTAAATTAAACACATCCAAAGCAATCGAATCAAATATAAAATATTATTAAAAATTAAAAGAAATAATTTTTATAACCATTTATGTAGGTGTTACAAAAATTAATTCTATCCTCCGTGAATCTGTTTTTGCTTTAAATTTTATGCAACGGATGGCGCTTTAATCATTTTAAATAAGCAAAAACCTCTGTTTACCACATTATATATGCATGTGATTCCTGAAGGTCAGTTAGAATTTATATGTAGATGAGAGTGTTGCTGTTTTATAATTCAAAAGTTTAAGTTCATTAATTTGCTATTTAAAATCCTATCCACCGTGAAGTGTAATATCTCAGTAAGTAGATTTTTTTTATAAATATTTTATGTATGTACATACAATTGTATTTTTTTAAAATATTAAGGTGTCAAAAGATACAATAAGTTATTTAAAACATACAAAGGAATGTTTAAAAAAAACATGCGAAATCCTAACCTCCGTGAAGCTCTAATATTCAAAATGTATGATTTCTTAAAATTCTTGCATTAGTGCAGAACCACTTATGTTATGATATTACTAGACCTGGTGGCTTCCAAAAAACCCCATTCTATACTAACAAACAATAATTTAGTATAGTATTGGCACAGGCTGTGTTAGTTGAGTTAAATTATTCTGACATTGAGGGCCCCTTCTCTGACGTTTGCTTAGGGCACCTAAACCCGGCCCTGTCCATACGTCATAAATGAACATATACGTACATGTACTATGTTTGCATAAGAAGAAATCATACAAAGAACAGACTGTGTAAATAGGACTATTATTAAAAAAATTGTTGTTTCATTTATAAAATTTATGGAGCTACAAATAAATAAAAAAAATTAATTTCTTAGGGTAACTGACCCAAAAGTACGCAAGATGTTTTCACACTTTCAAAAAAATGATTTTTTGTTTGCGGCCTTTTGGGCATAGGTGATTTATATTGTAACCTACCTTGTTACGAGCATAAATTGACTAAAACAAGCCTTTAAAGTTTTTTTCGTGTTAATTTGATATTCCATATTGTTTAATATCAACAAATCATATTCCTTTATCTTGAGATTATTTAAAGAAATTATTATTTTTTCTAGTTGTAAACAAAGCAACATAAATAATATGTAACATACAATAGGAGCGACTGCTCCAAATAAAAAAGCATACAAAACAATAAAGTAATAAGCTATAAGAGAAAGTAGAAAATTTTCGACTATTTTTGGATAAAATAAAAAATAACTTCGCCATGGATAAAAAAATATCAAACCCAAAAAACTTAAACCCATTGCACACACCATTAATCGACCTTTTCTAAATATATTTGCATTATACAGTTTTTCAGAACGCAAATCCATTTGTTTGAATGATGATAATGCCTTGGAAAGTTTTGATGTGTTTAGTAAGAGGAAAACTTGGTAGCAAAAACACTAAAATATCCTACAAATTATTCAAGAAAAAGATGCCGGAGTTTTAAAGTATGCTTTTGGCTTTGGAAAACAACATTGCTTTTGTTTTTAATATTAGGGTGGTTTTTAAGATTTATAAAACTGTATATATATATATATATATATATATATATATATATATATATAATAAAATTGTTGTAAAATAGCGCCCAGCTATAGAAATTTAATGAATTTTCTGTTATTTCAATGGAAAAACTAACCCCAATGAATTATAATATATATATTATATATATATATATATATATATATTATATATATATATATATATATATTATAATTCATTGGGGTTAGTTTTTCCATTGAAATAACAGAAAATTCATTAAATTTCTATAGCTGGGCGCTATTTTACAACAATTTTATTATAAGCTATATATTTCGACCTTTAATTTTTTTAATAAAAAAAAAGAATTTTTCCTTTTTACGGCAAAAGTAACAAAAAATGTTATAGAAAATTTAATTTCCTATAATAGTATATTGAAGAACTAATGTCATAAGACGTCATTTTGTCGCACGCGGACAATTTATAAAACGAGTTTTGTAATGGACGAGTGCGACAAAAGGTCTTATGACATGAGTTCTTTATGCTATTTAATTTATTTGGCAAATATTCTATAAAAAAATTATTTTTATACCTTAAATTTGATTTGGCCGAATTTTACTTCAGATATTTGGTATCATAGTCATTGGTTTGAGAGTAAAAGTCAAAAACGATTCGCCATGCCGTCCTTAATTTACTTATTTACAATAAGCGGCTGTTAATGTTAAAGAAGAAAAAAAGGATTTTCTTTGGTGTTAAACAAAATTTATTGCCAGAAAAGTCTCGTAAGTACTAGAAACATCATAAAATATTAACACCAATATGCAAAATATTATGTTGTTTAAAGTAGCCAACCTATAAAATCAAAATTTTGAGTGGGATAAAGTATGTCATTGCAGCACCGAAAGCGGTGTTATAATGAAGTCATTATAAACGCAAAATATATAAAAAAGATTTGATACATTAATTCAATAAAATGCATAGTTTAAAATATATAGAGCATATCTACATTTAATACATTTTTCTGCCCAACATTTTTTAAATGCTTCATATCTTTTAAACTATGCATTTTTTGCAGTATTTCCAAGGACTTTTTTTGTAAATTTTATCAATAAGAGCGCAAGATTTGAATTTCGCCTCAGTTTGGCAACCATGATGTCACATGATTAATGACATGACAGATTGATAGGAGACAGATGGAAGTTAGTAAATATAGAGCATTACACGATAGAACAACCCGTCCTGATTGTTAAACACTATTATCAAAATGATGAAAGTTTGATTGCCACGATTCGTAAAGGGCGTCCAATATTTTTTCGAAATAATGTTCCTAATTCATCTACTGTGAAAAGAATAATCGAAAAATTTGAAAGCACTGCTTCGGTTAGTGATGTGAAACACACGACACGAGCTCGTTCAGAACAAAATGTCGCAGCAGTTCGCAAGAGTGTGGTCGAGAGTCCAGAGACGTCGATTTGCCATCGTGCACAAGAATTGGACATTACAAAAGCCACTCTTCAGCGAATTCTTACTTAAGATTTGCATCTTCATGCCTACAAAGTCCAATTGACTCAACAACTCCAGCCAAAAGACCATGAACAGCGAAGAGAGTTCACCAATTGGATCCTTGAGCAGCAAGAAGTGAATGCCGATTTTGCGGACAAAATCATTTTCAGTGATGAGGCCCATTTTCACCACTATTTAACACCCTTGGACTTTTGGCTGTGGGGTTATTTGAAGTCACAAGTTTATGCCAACAAGCCCGCCACCATCGAAGCCTTAAAAGCAGAAATTAGACGCTCTATCAACGAAATACCGCCACATGTATTCAATAATGTTATTGCAAATTTTGCCAAAAGAATACGCTTGTGCCAGTTAAGCCGTGGTGGCCATTTACCAGATGTGTTATTTTATACATAATTTC